ATTTACTGTTTATACTTCATAGACCATGAGCCATACAATAACAGACGAATCGTCAAAATACCGAGTAAACCTTTTCATTGCTTGTTATTATTTTTATGTAGCAATTATACATATTGTGTCGTTAAATAATACTTTTGATGTATTTTTTAGGCTTCTAATGAAAACTTGCTTAGAAGAAAGGTAAACTTTGTCACTAGTATCTTATAAGGATAACTAATTCTATAATTATGATACTTTTACGGGCATACGTATAACGGCAGTAAGGCACAATAATCACATGATGTCTATTAGTAAATATATCCTTAAATAATGATTTTTAAACTCTATTTTCTTTAGTCTGCAAGCCTAAATTTTATAGCAAAGCAACAACCTGAAGAACTTGGTGTATCCGCAGTTCTAGGTGATAAACGTAAGGATCCTATAAATTTTAACTTCGAAATATAAATAGGATTGCATGTACTTTCCATTTTAGTAAGTGTTATATGTGTATATGTTAGATTGGATAGCAGGACATTTTCAAACTATAAAGAAATACAACCTATTCTACCATTGATAATTAATAATCCTTTCGTCACTATCTGTTGAATAAGCTATGCATTAAGTAATTGCTAGTTATTGATTCCTGATTATAAATATATGATATTCACGTAAATGCTGCAAATAGCAGTACTTCCAGATCATAAAGAAAAGCGCAGGACAGTCGGGCAGTACTACAAGTCGTTGGTGATGGATTTGCTCTCGAATGAAAAGGTTTACGTTCAGGAATTAAAGGTATGCTATTTGTTAGTAAAAAATTTGATAATTTTATTAAAAATTTTTATAAATAATATGATAAATTAATTTTGGTATGGACTATAGAATATTTTATCGCAGTGTTTACTACCGTTAAAGTCTGAAAGGAGGTTAGTGTTTAGCGTATTTGAGTAATTGACTGGATGCAATATGACTAATGGAAATATTGTATAAAACTATTTATATATTAGTATTTTTACCGGGGAATTTCAACCCCTTTATACAAGCCTAGATTCTATTAAAATATTGCACGAGGCCTTTATTGTTAGATTGACAAAAAATATTGCGTAAGTATTGATCATTCTTTAACACTTTGGATATACTACTAGTTTTCGTAATCTTATTTAATCTATGTAAATATTTCTGTTCCTTTAATCTAGCCTCCATGAAAATGATCAATCTATTGGTAGTTTTTTGTTGGAAAATCGTAAAGAGGTTTACCAATTAATTGAATTTTAGTCGCTTGATGTTATCGCATATTGAAACCAGTGAACATAATTGTTACAGTTGGAGGAAAATTATAAAAGTTACTTTAGTTGTCATCCCGTTGCAGCTTCAACAATTATTCAGAATAAGTACGTATGGTATAACTTCGTCATTCGTAGTAATGTGTCTTTAGCATTATGTAATTAAAATTTTATAGCAGCTGATCATTTTCTTATTCGCCTTAACAGGGAAGCTTTGGATGCGTTATTAGAAAAGATGCAGTTACCAAAAATGGAGACGTCCTCAAATGTGACCTCTTGCATTAGCATTGTAAGGACTAAGGAAAAATATGCTATTCATTGATATCATTAATGCTTCAAAATTTGTAATTTTCATTCACATTCCTTGCCATTTTAGCCTTTACGTCATTTAGAAGCGTACCCAAATAAACTCAGAGAGCTACTAAATAGTGTAGAAGTAGGTTTAATTTGATAGATTATATTACAGCGGTTTTCAAGATAAATTTTTAATGCAATGGTCTTTATTATTAGGATCATCATCCAGGACGAAATAAATTACTCGAAGCATTTGAATTGCTATCTGATATTAATGTAATTCCTTATAGTCATTGTTTTTGTTAGATTATTTAAAATATTTATATATTATAGTATCATACTTAAAATAGTAATTTAGTTTATAACCTTGATGGATCTTCAATTACAGAAATCATGCGCTATAGTAAGGAAGAATAAAGAAATTGAAACAGACATTATTACAGGGAAGCTCGAGGGCTTTCCGGATGAAAACGTATGTATAATAAAAGGGAGCTACTTTTTTTGTAAGATTTACCTCTTATTTTAGAGATTCGCATAGTATCTTTATTTGACGATTCTTTCTAAATTAGCTATATCACTTTGATACCGGTAATCAAAAATTTAATGATAGTAGCAGTAAAGTTATAATTTCGCTGTATAAATTGGACAGCATATGGTTTGTTTTATCACTTCATCTCTTTGCTCCAATATGGCATGATAACTTATCATTGCAATTTTGTAATGGTTGCAATGTAAACTATGAGTTTATTATCTAGCGTGATTGTTGCTTTGCTCTCTGCATGTGTATCATAGTATGGCAGTATACACGCATAGTATTTGTGGTTATAATAGTTTAAAGTTTTAACTATGATAGAATAAAATAATATTATTTACTTTAAATTGATCGGTGATTTCTATTAACTTGTACGGTATCGCTTGTAAATTGCTTGGTTACTTGTTCGGGAAATACTATTCTAATTTTTTTAATGCTGCATACATCATTTTACTCAGCTCAAGGGTAGATACGGCTTACCAATGTTCATGTGCAAGACACAAATGAATGATCCTGAGGTCTAGCATAAATACAGTGCTATACAATACTATTATTTATTCTATTATTTTCTATTTCTGACTTACAAATCTTCTATGATAACTATATACATGTATTATTTTACAATACTGTATCATAGGCCAGCGACCGTTACGTATTGGTTTTTGATACGGCTGTTGCACTTGTAGGTGTAGTTGAAAAATTAAGTGGATACTATTGTCGGGTGAGATCAATAGCTAACATTTGTCTCATGGTTCCAATGATAGACATCCCTTTCCAATATCTTTTGATATTTAACTTTATTTTTGCGCCGGTTTACAGGGTGATATTCCGATATCGGCAAATTTTAAAGTAAATACTAAGTTACGTAATTCAGGAAATAAATCTTACACAAGCATCGAAATAGAAGGTACTGTATGCAGTTGCAAAAGTTACGATAGGTATCAAGAATTATTATCAGTGGTGTACTCTACCTAATCAGATGAGTTACATTTTTGGTAGATAAAACTGTGTCTTATTCCTTTGACTTGGAAATAAACGATGCGAAAAATTTGTTATCTCTTCTTAATCGCTTGACTTATGTAAGTAAAACAGTGAAATTTTATCATATTAGCAAATTAAGATTAATTCCTTTTCATAGTGTTCACTGTTGTTATTAAATGAAATATAATGTGCGTCTTTCTCGTAACGATTTTCCTGCAATGCGTTAAATCATTGTTTATTTAGCATCAGTGTAGTCATAATTAATTTTCTTGGAACGATTAAACTATTTTTTCTTTTAACTGGGCTAGAAATTTGACGGAAAAGGAACAGATACTAGTATAAACGAGGTTGTAATATTAATAAATCAAAATTTTGTACCGAAATTTGAAATTGATCACTATCGATATGCAACTAATATAATTTTGCGTATCATAAATCAGGGACAGCGGAGTACGAAACTTGATCATGAAATGGAAAAAGTAAAGTATTTTGATAAATTTTACACCTAGATTATACTGTAGAGTCGGACTAAAGTTCACTAGAATTATCCACGATTTGTAATATAATCTTTCATTTCTTTTAAATCGACCAAAAGAGCCTAAAATAAAATTGGTTTTGCTACGTCTAAAATCTTTATATTATAGTTATCTATTGATGATGATATAAAAGGTAGAGAAGAGGTAATCGATCAGGTATGGAGCTGCCTATTCTTTCTATACTTATACTGTAAACGTCAGATAGAAATTGAAATCTTATAAATCAATTGCCTTTGTACTTATAACCGTTATTTCTATTACAGGCTATCGATTCAAATGGTAGTGCAGTTAAGTGGAATGTTAAGATGCTACGACCTAGCCGACTGGCCAAGACTTCGGTAGAATTACTAGTAAAAGAGGTAAATCTAAGATTAAGGCTTCAAGTTATGAGCAGATCTTCTTCTACATAACACTGGTGCTGTATTTTGATCTAGCTTTATTAATTTTTTGTTTGATAAAATTGTGTTTGTTTTTAGGAAAACATTAACGATTCTAGAAAGTTTTTGCCTTCATCTCGCAAGAAGCAGGGTACCTATGATGCAATGATTAACATGAGCGTTTTATTTAACAATTTTATGATACATTTAGCTTATACATAATAATTAAATCTCTGATATTTCATGATAACTATATTGTTAATAGGAAAGACGAAATCAGTTATTGGTAACAACATTGCAAACGATGAATCTCTTAATAGTCGAAGTAAGATAAAAGAAATGATATTATTAATGCATAACCTTGCAAAGAAATTAAATTAGGCCATAATTCGAATTTCTTATCTATGTTAACTCTGCCGGTAGACCAAATGTAGGATTATAACATTGTCGATATAAATACACCTAAATTTGTTGATATTAATGCTGCAATGAATTAACTTTAAAGCGATAATGAATTAGACCCATTGATGACAACTTCATTATCAATGTCATTGCTAGCACATGATTGCAATTGACGAGTGTATTTGTAACTGATTCAATAGCTGATCCGCGTAATGCTGAAGATTCCGAAGTCCTACGACTGATCGAAATGTATACTACTAACAATCGAAATCGCCACAATGTTGTCCGTCATTGACCAAGTAATACCAATTCTTTAAAAGTTATACAATCCAAAGATTTGATCATGTTTAATATATAATATATAATCAGATGATGAGTATACATTCTTTATTATTGTTTCCGATCTATTTGTACTCCGATTGTAATTATGTTGAGAGAGACTGTTACTTTAATTTATAAATGTCTTTTCCATTTCTCTATATTTTATCCGCTTTTAATGTTAAAACTTCAGTTTCGGCATATTTACGGTAATATTGTACTTTGAGTTACCTTTTGGCTCTGCGCTTATTGAATAGCTTGAACAAGTGTATGCCTAATATTGCATGTTTATAGAATATACTTTATTCTGATCGATTTTAAAGTTGTACGGTGTTGTTAAACCGAGAAATTGTGATGTTTGATCTTCGATTATAAATATTTATTATGATTTAAATTATGGAGGATTACTAATTCATTATTCTCTACTAAACATCGTTATGTAATATATCAACTCGTACACGTACAAGCGAAAATCATTTATATGATTATAGTGCATGATAAAGTACGGCATGAATTGAGTATGACCTTGCATATAACTAGACAGAATATTGTACTGATGCTGCAGGATGTGTAGTCCGCCTTTACAACAGAACTAGTGATATAAGCAAGCGATTGTCTTTTTTTTTTAGAGATGATAAGTACTCATATGAGTAAAATCTACTCCTACTACTTATCGATTTATCAATCTTTGCGATAAAATTGCTAATCTAAATAGGCAATTACTTTATAGAAACGATAGAAACTATAAATAGATTTAATGCAATAACATTACTAATCTAAAATAAGCGATTACTTTATAGAAACAACATAGACTACAGGCAGATTTAATGCAATAAAAATACCTGATCTAAATAGGCAATTACTGTACTTAATAGAAACGACGTAGACTACAGATAGATTTAGTTGATATTAATTGATAGTATATTCTTTTATCTCTGTACCAATATACTTAGGAGACCAATAATAAGGCCAGTATATATACTTTTATTCTCCATTCAAAATTGATCTGTTGTCTAGTCTCTCTCATATACTGTGGTTCTGAAATTATTTGGCTGATTTTATAGCAGGCGCTGCACACTTACTATACTGTAGTTAGAGTTGCTCTACCTTCCACGGTATAAGCAAATTTCCTTTACATCGATCAAGTAAAATCGTACTATTCCATTATTCATTTCACTTATAAGCTTATAAAAGTGACACAAACATATAGTACTAGCTCAATATATTATAAAATCGATCCTGAACATTCTAATGATATCCTGTTTTAGTCGTAAATATTATAAGGATTTACTATGGTCATAAAAATTAATTATGTATGAGCATCATTATAGGATACGTGGAGTTTTAATCATAAGACAGTCTTTATGCTCATTCAAGCGATTATAACTATAGTATAGACTAGAATTTATTGCAGACTGTAGCACTATACAGTATTCCATCACTTCATTCCTCGTCCACAGCCATAGTGCAGTTATATAGCTGAGCAAGGTCTTCCAATCCTCACTTTGTTATTCAAGAATCGTATATTTACCATCATTAGCCGCTATTAGGCAATTTTACTGATTTATTCTGTGGAAAAGCTATTTGGTAGTCTATACTAGACCTAGTGAACTTACTTTGGTGGGCAGATTGATCGAAAATAAGGAAAATTTTTCAGAATGATGCGATCGAAATTGCGTATAATTCTTCTAGCACTCCAATTATTGCTATCCTTCAGTCTAAGTTTTGCTTTTTACCTACCTGGTGGTAAACCATCATTTTACTGTCCAAAAGCTAAAGCCACTCTATCTTGCAAGGTATTATCCAAATAGGATTCGGTATTGATTGCCAAATAGCAAATATGTATCGTATCTTAAGCTTCATTGGCTTTGTTTTCGGTAGTCACTTGAAGATTCCACAGTCCTATTTCTACGGTACTTTAATGATCACAGTTGTAATCTCAACTCAATTTTGCATAATAGTATCCAAAGAGGATATAATATTCGTCTAATAGCGACTAGATATTGTGTTAAAGCATTCTTGATTTAGTTTTCAGTAATCACTTGAAGACGAATCACTCCAGTTGTTTCTATTGTAATTACTCTAACTTCGACCCAATCTTGTATTGTATGAAATGGAAACATGGATGAGCATTGCGACATTTATTTATATCTTATATCCGATGTAATCGGTGGTTAATCATCAAGTGACTATTCGATATCGTACATCAGCATTTTTCGACTCCTTATTCGGGATTATCTTCAAGTTAGATCCTATTCAGCTGTTTTTTGGACGACTTTAATCTAGCATGCCAATTGCATACTGTTAACGCCTAATATACGAGTACATTGTAATGTCGTCCTAATACGATATTTATGATATCTTTTTGTAATAAAAGAGAAATCTCCACAACGCATAGAATAGACAGCATGTAGACTAGAATACGTACAGTGCATGTAATACTTTAACTCAAAAGCACTTAATGAGATATGAAATGGATAAATGTTAGTAGTGTAAATTGAAATATTTTCCTTTCTTCATTAATCGCAACCTTGTTAATGGCAATGTAATACTTTGTTGGACATCATTCCATGCTCATCAATGGAAACATGGATGGTGGCACTGCTGTGTTTATTGAATGCCTTTTCTCCTTCACGAATGTGAACACGGATGACGGCACTGCAATGTTTGGTAAATTACCATTCCTTCTTCATCGTCCGAAATATGAATGATATCATTACGATATTTATTGAACATTTTCCTTCATCATCGACTCGATGATGATGATGGACTGCCTTTACTTGCTGACTGTCAATAAAGTCAGAAATTCCTTTCATGGTCAATACTTTAAATAGTCCGAAAGTTGCTGAACCGTATGAATATTCTTCGTAAGTATGAACTGTATGATGCAATTTTGCCCAATAAAAGTGTAAATATGTCATCTTCTCATACGATTATATTACAAATATTATAAATAAATGATCTATCCTGCATGGTAACACAGTACTGTAGCCTTCAACAGTAAATAATCCTGACATTTCTTCTTGTATCCATTCCATGATATAGGTTTGATTTCTGCCAGTACAATGGCAGCAAGGTTGCTCCTGCTGAAACGATTGGTCAGGTAAATGGCCATTATCGGCTATCGTAACTTTTTAAATGCACTAAAGTTAGCTTGATAAATTTAATACCACTCATAGATAATGAAAGTAGGTAGTAGAAGTTATCAGTTTGAATTGAATAATCTGATCAGTTCGCAAAAAATGTAGACTGTAATATCACGATACTGTACTGTATTACTGTTAAGTTAACATCACTACCAATCTTACCAGCGATGATATCAATATATAATGTCTGTTCACTTTCATCGATTGATTTTATGTTAGGTAGTTCAACGTGCAATTTTGTAATTTTAAAATTTCCAAACTAGAAATTCGACAGACTAACATATCCGCATAGTGTTGTGAGTATAGTCATAAAATTCAACATGCTAGTATTGACCGTAATTTAGTTAATAGTTGCATCCTTGAAGAGTAAAGGTTAAATCTGCTTTGAAATTGGCTAGTAAAATCTTACTGGATAATAATTATAATATAGTTATTACGAAGGTTGATGAAATCTATTTTCGAGAACTTCTCTTTAAAGTGTAAAATTAATGTAAATAAGACCTATACTGTATTATACAATTTCTTGCTATCAAAATCATATAGTAATCATTATAACAAAAATAATCTCATACCATTTGAATAAATCAAAAATACTGTTTAAAAACCAAGTATCTAAGACGTATGTGCCACGCTTAATGAAAGTTGTTGCTATTCTATAAATGATGGAGGTACGACTATGTTCCTATCTCATGAGATACAGTATTTAAGCTTGATATTAGAAACTGTTGCATTGATTGGTCTTCATGAGAAATAAATAGGATAAAACTGAGGACTGCACTCATTGATTCGTCTTATTTATAATTTCAAAATATACATCTGAAAATGGTTAGTACTACGCTACTGTACTTATGCTAGAGTTGGAATTCATAAAACATAAACTCTACTATAATGATTGTCCGTCGTCTAGTGCTTAAACGATAGTATCGATCTGATTACCATCTACTTGCTAAATGATGCATTGATGTATGATAGGTTCTGATTGGAGATCGCCTTCACATAGCACCTTATGCTGTAAGTATATCGATGCAGCGTGAAGAATATATTTTGAAAAGATGATAAAATTATGTATTTAAAACATTGACATTATCTAGATCAATTTTCTGGAAGATGTTAATTGTGCAAAAGTTTGTACTAAAAGCTACTTTCAAGGGGATAAGAGTAGTCTAGCTAAACTGAAGAAATTAAAATATGGCATAGTCAAGAGATACCTTAACAATTGGTAAGTCCCGGTTGATCTTATTTATGCAATTATAAATTATAGTTAAAGAAATACTTGTATAGTGACAAGGTCTTTTGTGTTAGTCACCGTAATACAGTAGTTAGAAAGATTGTAGTGTTCGTCTGTAATCTAGTTAATCTTGGTTACGCTGTACTAAATTATGTAATAAAAATCTATTGGTTCTTCCTAATGCTTTAACTACGTTTTGTCATGACAAGATTATGTCATCGTTTGTAATTGCTACAAGTTTATAACATTTATTTTTAAACTCCAAATAATATCTCATTATATCTATCCTATATCATTAGGCTCATCGATAATATGCCAGTAACACAATGTTTTCAAGCTATCAACCATCAAACTATTGACTCGCTAGGAATTTTTATCGGTGGCTGCATGGATAATCAAATATGTTCGGTATAATACTATACACTGCAATCTAAATGAATTCATCATGCTCGTATACCATAACTAAAATGGTTAACACTATATTATGTTTCTGCAATCTTTATTCTTAGGAAAAAGTAAATCGCTATTATGTCTATAATCATGTTGATATAACAATTTCTTATAACTATGAAAACGAAAATAAAAACCAAGGGGCGAATATTGTATCTGCTACAGCTACGCTTCGTAGGTAGGCTGCATTTGATATCGCTACGTACCTATTGCGCACTAACTGCCAGTATATCTGACAACGATTGAAATATGATGTAATTAGTATTCGCCATCCACCGAATATGGTTAACTGCAATATCACTTCTCCATGGATATTCAGAGATAACCTAGTAGTGAATACATCAATAACCTACACTTATTCTGTACATTTTAAGGTAAATACGTTGAAATTTCTTAGTTTTTATTTCCTGGCTAATGCTTATTTATTATGTCTCTCGCGATCATTATATTTGTAATATTACTAGCGAGACAACTCCACCTTGTGGTCATCCAGGTGGGATTACATCCTAAAATCTCATTCTCATCCCACTATCCTTTGGTTCAGGTAAAGAAAGGTTATACCCCGTTGTAAATGAAATAAACTATCAGTTATCGACTAACATTTTTTTACTGCAGCTTGATAAATTCTACGATTGTCCTTGTACTACTCTGTGCTTGCGTGGCTTTAATACTTCTTCGAACTCTCCGCAATAAAGAAATCAGATGTTGTCGATCACAGTCTTTGGTATAATTCGCACACCACTAAACTAACCTTTTTTTTATCTACTGTGTATACAACTTTTTCTACAATGCCTGATCATAGTGTATCTTATTTAGAAGGAGAAAACTCAGGCAGAATCTGGATGGAAATTGATTCATGGTGACATATTTCGACCTCCTGGAAAGACTATGTTATTATCAATTTTATCTGGCACTGGAATACAACTCCTTATTACTACTACCATCATACTGCGTAAGATGAAGAATGGATGACAAACATTTAGTTAGGGCGATTACATTTAAAAGATCTTTCCTTTTATAACTAAAGTGTTTATATTCATTCGTATTAGTGCTCGCTTGCTTTGGAGCGCTATCTCCAGCTTCACGCGGAGAGCTTGCAACATGTGCTCTGGTATTTAACATTCATTTAATTCGGTATAATATACGTACAGCTATAATTTAATAACGTACTTACTGTCTACTTTCTGGTATTGCAGTTTCTTTACTTGTTTTCAAGTTGTTTTGCTGGTTATACGGCAGCAAGGATTTATAAAGGTAACCATAGCAATCTTTATCGATACTTTTATGTACAGCTGTATGTTTGTAATAAAAGAAATATCTGCTATATTTATAGCAATCGGAGGGCTCCATTGGAAAACTATGACACTTATGACATTTTTTCTGCTCCCTGTGTACGTAATATTTGCTATAGTTTATGTTAATTTATGATTCTCTATTCTGGCTTGCTGAGCGTTTTCTTTATAACTTACTAAAGAATATTTTTTATTTATTTAGGGTGGTTGTAGCGATTTTCTTTTTGTTAAATATATTTGTATGGGCCGGACAATCTTCGGCAGCTATACCTTTTGGTACTTTTGTAGCAGTTATGGCACTGTGGTGGGTGAAATACTTACATTTAATTTCATCGCATACGTATTAATACTAGTAGCCTGTCCTAGATATTGATATTACTACAGTTGACCATTCGATTCAGCTAAAATGTAAAATAATATGACATTTAGGATTGGAATTTCAATGCCAATGACTTTTATTGGAGCTTTTTTGGGTTTTAAAAAGAAGGTTACAATTTGTACATACACTAAATATATGAGTTTTTAAAACGTTTAGATGAAGACGTCTTTTAAACCAACTTGAATAATTTTATTTCAGCCGATTCAAAATCCCGTGGAAACGAATCGTATTCCGAGAAAAATTCCTCCAACGGTATTATATAGTGCAGATGATAATAAGCATGTATATATACTCGTATATTGCGAAGATTAATAATTGATATCGACAGGATTATAATAGTGCTAAATATCACTTAAATATTTTAATCATATAGAAATTTATTATGAAACTATGGCCTGGTGTTCTCATGGGTGGATTGTTGCCCTTCTCAAGCTTTTTTATTCCATTTTACTTCATTTTAAGCTCGATATGGTAGGTAGTAGTATGAATAGACTAGTACATGCATAGTGAATTGTTACTTATACCCATATTTGAATTCTTCTGTATGCTTACAAATTACTTTATAGGATGCATCAAATTTTTTACGCCTCTGGATTTCTCTTTCCAATGTTTTGTGTATTTATTCTAACTACTGCAGAGTCAACAATATGCTTGTGTTACGCTCATTTATCTGTTGAGGTATTTTATATTCTATTGAGATAGAATAATAGTTCATGGACTTACACGAATTTTGCCTAATCGATTGTATTACCGCTGTACTCAGAAATTATTCTATTTTTGCTTGGCATTGATGCATAGGATTACCAATGGTGGTGGCGCTCATTCTTAACTGGCGGCGGTTGCTGTTTTTATATACTCGTTTATTCTATATATTTTGTATCTATAAGGTCTGGTCTCGTTGGTGGAACAAGCATATTCCTCTTTATTGGATATACTACAATCATTATGTTATTTGTGTTCATCTTAGGGGGTTAGTTATTATTTTTAGAAAATGTTATACGAGGCAAACGTGTGCCAGCCTTCCGTATACAATTTTATGTAAAGGTAATGATGACATACGTTACTCCATTAATATTCATTCTGGGTTTCTTTTGGTCTCTTGTAGGCTCGATTGGTTTTTTGACGAGCTACTACTTTGTAAGGAAGATTTATTCTGCTGTTGGTGTAGCATAATGTAAGCCAATGGGAATCACACTCAAAAATGTTAACATTTGTAGTTATATACAAGCTTTAAGAGTTTTCAGTACGATATCACATTTTATAAATATGCTATATAGTTTTCACTTGTCGAAAATATTGCAATACTAATTCTAATTTATTTGTTAAATGCCAATGTACTGTACTTTTTAAGCTGCAACTATTAAATGAATTCTGTGTACAATATCAAGATAGTGAATTATATATAGTATATTTCTTAATAAAATTTCAACCGTTTAGTAAATATTAGTAAATTGAATGTACGAGTTTATCGCAAACATACGGTAATGTTGGAATTTAACAATGATGGTATTTCAGCAACTCTAATTAAACATGGTATTCTGTTATCTCCGTCGAATATTGTCTAGCATTGTATAAGCATATACAGATGTACTTAACTATTTCTTAAATCTCTTATTAACAACATATAAGTATCGATCATAGCTGTAATGTATTCTTTAATTTGAATAGTTATATGCATAGCAACATTGTAATAATAAAATTTATTACTTTTGTAATTGAAGTCACCCAATGGCTTTACATTGATAAATGAGATCAATATTACTTGTAGAACGCTTGATATTCATTAGATATTGTTAATAATATGATTTTAGCTTATTAAATTACCTCAAGTAGTAATGTAACTGAAGTTGGTAATTGACTGTATGTATTAGAGGAAATATACATACATTAGGTACGATGTTAAAAGTTTAGAAGCTAGCTGTATACCCAGTTTCTTCAATGGTTAAATGCGAGACTTAGTAAAACAGTACCTACATACATACTGTACAGTGTATGAGTAAGTATTGAGGATTATTGTGTCTCCTGTTAATGTATAGCAAAATTTAAATAATTTTAGGATCGGTTATCTCAATTTGTTAGAATTATAGTAAATTACACAATATATATATACTAAATTTTTACTAGTAGATGTATCTCAGTCACCTTAAGTGTCCAAGTTATACCTAATTTTTTGTAGATAGTTATTTATCATAGTCGTAATGCGGTAGAGTTTGTGGTTTCAATAGTCAACTCAGATGCTATTATTTTAAATATTTAACGCTGACTTTTAGAATGAACGGTTTGGCTTCCCTTACAAATCAGATTGTAATGCAAACGATACTATACCACTGTCCTTAGTATGCGTAATAGACCGGGTCAGTTTAATTCCAGGATAGCTAATAATACAGTACTTCTATGCATAATTCTACGTTAGCTGATACAGAAATTGCGGTAATCATGAAATTACTTCATTAAGAGTTGCATCAATAATATTCAAGTTGGGTATAGCAACGTTATTGTGATCGCTTAATTTTGTTTATATTCAGCGTTTCATTGGACAATAAGTTCTTATTCTAAGCTACTAATTAATAATATTAAGCATAGATTGCTTCACTACATTTTCAATTTGAAGACTCGTTTATCATCGTCGTAAATTCGTAATATTATACCAAGTGATTTTAATAATATAGTAAGTATTATTAGTTCATACTTCTTCTACCATCTTTATTTAATCGGTTGAGGCAGCAGAACGTGTGAGCATTACCGGCATATGATGCTTATAGCAAACATTTTTAGTTACTCTAGGCTATCCCTAAAATCTTCGCTCTACTTAGGCTTACTGTATACTATGATAAAAAGGTACACCGAATAATCATAATTCATTAGGGATTTGGGACTACCGGTATTAGCATTATTACATATACTGCATAACTAATAGATGTGTTAAATCGCTAATCATAATCGACACACAATCATTTACATTGACTATAGAATTAAAATTGATTAACTTTGTCTAATTTATAAGGACTGTAGCATGCTGCAGCTTTCACTTACGAAATGTATGATTTACAGGAAGAATGATCCAAGCAAATAATGTATAAATATGTATCCATTCATAGAGTGACTGATGTTAAACATTGGATGCATCATCAAGACATATAACTTTATACTAGTTCTTATATTTGGCAGATATCATTAAACGAACAACAGATATTCATTTATAGAAAATAAAAAATTTATGAGTATACTGTATCGTGACTATTATTGCTTATTCTGCTAATAAAATATTTGTTGCTAAGCCGACATCATTATTAGTAACTTGCAAAGCTTGCATTACTGCATAACGTGAAAATCCCATTTCTACTAGTGTTTTAACCTAGTTTAGAAAAAAAATCCGTTATAACTTATTAGTGATTAAAGCCATGTAAAGTAGCGGGAGATACGCAATAAATTAAGGATCTTTCGTGTTATTGTGATAATTTCTATGTACCAAAATCACAAAGAACTGTTCCTTCATGCCATCATTAAATAATCTAGACTTACATTATCTTCAGAAATATCGTCAGGTCTTGGAATGTTTTCAGCTTCATGAATTGAAGGTTGTTCATGAAATTGTGGCTCAGATGGTCTTATTGGATTATCATCTCTATTTGTTCGAAACCGACGGCGAAATGGCCCTTCCTCAGGTGGTAATAAAACTTCTTGGTAACCTTGGCCGACGCGATTACGCTAGAAAATTAATGAAATAAAAAATTTTTTTATTTCCTTCGAGATGTCATTGAGGCACCAAAAGTCAGGTTAAACTAATAAATTTAATAAATAAGAATACATTTTCTCTGGCTAAATTTACTTGTTGCTGATTATCATCTAGCATTCCAAACTGTCTTATCTGTGCACGAGTTATTTGGGCTTCCACTTCGTCTAAATATTGACTACGTTGAATTTCTACTGTAGCACCCATCGGATTTTCAGGACTATCAGCCAATGGTGCAGAAGAGTATAAAATCCTACCAAGATACGTATGACAAAATCGGTAGACAGAATCCGGAAAGCGCAGTATCTGATGAAACCAATTTAGCTTAAATCGGGCAATTATTCCTGCCAGCTATTATATGATGAAGATAGACGCCATAATTAGACGTAAATCAATATACAGTATGATCGTATAATTGCAACATTCAGAATACGTATATTTATTAGTAGTTGATTCATTTACCATGCCACTTAAGCCAACAAAAATAGATCCACGAGATTGACTAAGAAACTTAATATGAGAAAAGATTAATAAATATTAGAAATATTGATTAAATACATTCACCGTTCCTGGAGAATTCATGGCATGATTGCAATATAGTCTATAGGTTTACCTGTAAACTTAACAAGTATAGTAAACTCTTGTCCGATAGACTGAAAGTCGATGACGATAATTTTGGAATTTCTCGGTAATAACAAACTAATAATCCATATATCCAGCAGTATCTATATTTAATAAAAATGACAAAACCACATAGGAAGCCAAAGAAATAGTAAAATTGCATGTCATTTCAATCAATCTATACACGTACGAGAGCTCAAAATAGTTTATAGCGATCTATTCAAAATCTTTTTTGACTAACTTTTATAAAGACACGATGAGTAATACTATTATTGTCTACAGTAAATATTCTATCGTTGCCATTAAACAAATAGTTGAGGTATACAAAAAAGCTATAGTTTGTGTGTTTCGTATATGGAATCGTCACAAGAGATGTTGGTTAAGTTATGTAGTTATCAAACCTACAATTAAAGTACTATCTAACTATCTCAATCTGAATGAAAATGGTAAGCGTACACAGTACTGTAGATAACTTGGTACGTAATGTAAGAGTGTGCTAGGGCGGTATGACTAAACTTTCTTAAAAGTGTTACCACAACAGAGGGAAGCTATTGGTTCAAATTTTTTTAATTCTTAAAGCAGATTAATTAATTAGCGTTTGATTAGTACGGTCCAGTGGGGAAATCCATAATTGTTTGTTGATGTTTAAATAGCATCAGCAGTATTAATTGGAAAAGTGAGGAAAGGCCAAAGACAGCAATTAAATAGGACTATCACGGAAAATGAAAATATAGAAACAAAATAAGTTTACATCGGCATTATTCTTATATCTTTGTAACATTACGCAAGATTTTACGTTTCTTAAAGTTTGTACTGTACTCAAAAATTCTATGTTAGTTAAAACCACTATCAAACGGTATACCTCTGAATTTTTACATTTATAATATCGTATTTTATTCATTTATTAAAGTTAAAACTTAATAGCAGATAAAAATTTTGTGTAACCATCCTAAGTCTACTTAGCAATTTGTGAAAGCCTAACTGAATACGGTAGCCATTACAAGTTGAATAAAGCCAATGTTGAAATTTGATAAAACAAGTAATAGTGATACAATTGTAATAGTTTTGGTGCTTGCTGTTAAATTTGACAAGACAGAAGTAACTTACCAAGAATTTAGCAGTACCGTAACGTCTTTCAAATAAACGAAAGTTATACAATAGGATAGTACCATAAATAATATCAATAGGTCGGCTATAAATGGTTGCAGACGTAAAGAGTCTCCATAACTGTGTAAAATCAAAATAAATTATAGCATTTATTTTCATTTCATGTTTAGAATGATGCAATTAAAGTATAGTTGAAGTTGGATAGGTTTAACTTACTTCTAACTTGGACACAATTGCGGATAGATCTAAATTCAAATTTTGCATCAATTGAGGGAAAAGATTTGTTACTGCCAGAGATGTAGTTGTTGTGACAATAAGTAATGTTTTTGTAACAGGAGCATAGCCTATATATATTTGAAGCAATGACAAGTCAAGCTATTACGATCAGATGGTAGCATGGGTTATTAGTTTCAATCTACTTTCACACTGCTAAATTTATTTATCAAGACGATAGCACAATTGTAAAGTACTAGTAGTGATTCATTCTATAAATAAAAATCTATTGATTGCAATTGAAGTTACTACAGTTTGAGAGAAATATGCATTATTCATTTTAACAACTTTCTCATCGTTATGATTATTGCAACGATAGTAGTAAAACTGAATGCTAGTAACCATACTGTTGTATTTGTCATAAAATTACTATACATTTTGTCTACAATTCACAGGATAATCAGGCTAGACTAGGCAGAATTTTGATAGTATTTCTTTTGAATCAAACCCACAATTGGAATACAGACCCAATATATGTCATACCTACACATCAATGTAACTCGTATTTACAAAATAACGATGCATTGCTGTACGGTATATGATATCTATTGCTTGCTAGAGTGATTAGGTGAAGTCAATTTTGCAAATATCTATTTTCTAATCATGCAGCAATCTTTAGGTAAATTACTTCCATAATGATAGATTATTATGCAATCTGATTAGTCAGTTAACCATACACATCTACTAGGGCATATCATCACCTAGCAAGTATTAGATATTAAATCTATGTCAATATTTCTTACGGGTGATGGTATACCAAGATTTTTTAGTTACAGTTTTAGTAGATGCTATCAGTCCATTACTTGTCCAATACATTAACATGGTTATTCATGGTCAATTGCTATAGTAGACTCGATGTAAATACTGGTTACTACCAGTGGCTACGTTAAATATAATAAGATTTTTATAAATACCCATCTTCAGGCATAGCCTTTAGTACATGTATTGTAGATACTACGAGTGCAGTACATTCACTGCCTCCTACATCAACCATGTTCGCAAGTAAATAGCTATAAGGTACTCGTTCAATAAATGTTGAAATTACTCTAGAATAGTCTCTATATCCATCTTCGCTGAGGTGGTCATATTCAATGATTTATAATCGCAGTCTATGGATGCTAGGAGAACGTCACCTATCCATTATAATTATAGCAGCAACTATGTAAATTGACTATCTATATTTACTTATTGAATGATGATGAAATTACTCTTCTAGCCCATTATGCCTCTGCTTATTCTTATTAGGGAGTCAATCTATACAAGGCTTGATTTACTATGGATATATTTAGTAGTCAACGGTTTTGCTTATAACTCTTTCTCAGTCAAGTCTTTTCAATCGATTGAACCGTCCGTTCTACTCTGTATGAGCTAGTAAATTGACCAATTGATTATGTATTGGCATCATCAAGATTGGCTACAAGTCCTTTCAATCAATTGAACTGTCAGTTCTAAACTAGTAAATTGACCAATTGATTATGTATTGGCATCATCAAGATTGGCTACAAGTCCTTTTAATCAAATGAACTGTCAGTTCTAAACTAGTAAATTGACCAATTGATTATCTATTGGCATCATCAAGATTCGGTACTAGCCCTTTTAATCAATTGTACCATCAGTTCTACGCTGCATGAACTTGTAAACTGATCCATTGACGATCTGTTGGCATCATCAAGATTGGCTACAAGTCCTTTTAATCGATTGTACCTTCAGTTCTACGCTGTATGGACTAGTAAATTGACTAATTGACTTTCGATTGCTATGATGAAGATGATATCACTAGGGTGAGTTGATCAAGATTTGACCGATACCCAATCTTGGTCGATAGGTATCCTCGATACCATATCCTATTGATTAGTCAATATTAGGCGGTAAAATCCTTGTACAACGATAACGCTAAAATTTGCTATAAGAGAATTGAATGATTGGACTATCATCAAGATTATTGCCATCTTGACAAGAGTAGACGATATAACGCACTGGAGAGGAAAACTGTACAGTATCGCAATTGTTGTATTGACATCACTTTGGCTAGCATACCGTGGTGTCGAATTCATGCACGATCGACTAAAATTGTTCTCTATGAATCAATAGACCTTCCATTCTAATTGATCACCGAGATAGATTGATAAATAGAGAGCAAAAGCAGAGAATGAAAGAGTTACTTACGAAAGCCATGTAGGCTGTAGATATGATGAAAAAACATTTTCAAGCTGGTCGTTGTAGTTTTGATCAAGTCGAGTAGCTGGTGTAGTTCTTCTCCACCGTCTCGTATGAGATACGTCGTGCGACAGCGTTATTAAGTCCTTTGGTCTAGGTCATGGACGTCTAGGACGTCGGTACGATGGAGATCGAAAATCATGGAATAGATCTACAGTACGGGGCGTCCGAAAAGTCTGGACACATTTTATATGGCTTTGTATAGTAAGTGGAGGGCCCGGGCTAGTCGTAGCGACATTACTTTTGCCACGCCATTTTCAGCAATCCTTGGTGAGCGGCTTCGTCAGGTCATTGGATAGTGAATAAGTATGGCAAAATGATTCCCTATAGAGAGTGATAGTACAGTATAGCACTGTACCGAGTAATAGCAATACTCAGTAATAATTCTGAGCTCATTGGCATAATAGCCTATACTAGGTTAATTGCAAGCAAAGCCAATGTCACCATGAAAAGAAAACTCCACTCCTGTAACCATAGGTGAAAAGCACAGCCTAGAGACAACTATTCCGACCACTTCCACTGCACAAAGAGCAATGAATAACAGCCTGACAACAACTTCTTTTTGTCTACTTTAATTGTCATCAATGATGAGCCCATGCAGAGTAAGGAAATTTTCGAACACCCAGACCGGCATCATCATCCAATGACGGTGACAATGTGACAGTGAACCCATTTCCATATCTTGACTGAACAGGAGTCGATTTCGACGAATGTCCACACTACTCAGTAAGAAATCAATAATCAGAATAAACTGTAAAACAAAGTATGGTCTCCATAGAAAGCATTTCTACCATTATTGTGATCTATATTGTACCATGGACTACTGCAGTACAGTAAATGATCGAGTTAGAGCAGTTCCATAACACCATTGTTGGCCATGACTGGATAGCAAAAATGATGTCATTGATAGCAGGGACTCTGTACTGTAGCCTGTAGGCCATTGATTGTACAACGGTAAGCCTAAATTGGTGACATTGTTTTTGCAGTCCTATAGGTTGCCAACAAAGTACGCTATAGCCAGCGTAACATTACTTGCAAAAATAATGTCGCTATTGGATGCTTCTAGTTAAGCACGGGTGACATCATTGTTTTGCTAGTGTGGCGTGTACTCTACTTCCTGCCACGTCTCCATGACTGCACGTCCCCTATCGGTACCCAAATGGTACCCAAATGGTACTGACTAACGATACTGCGCAGTTGATTAAATCAAGAGTAGAAATACACTGCAATCAGGCACTGACTTATACTGTACAGTATAAGACTTGTCCTAAGGGTCTCTTCTCTACACAGTATAGTAAGTACTATTTCTGCCCATCTTGTCGACAACAGTTGGAGCATTATTAGTAAACTGCCATCCAGTCTTTCAGAAAAGCGATTTGCAAGGAGAAATTGCTGAGGGTAATTGCTCTATTTCTACATTACAACACTCAAGTCATTCCTTTACGAGTATCGAATATATTACAATACAATTCGAGCTAGAATTACAGGAAATATGAGTAGATATTGGATGATATTGTTACACCATGGATCAATCATGGAGTTTCTATGGCCGCTAATTCAACAGTTCTTGTTTGTTCACAACATGCTTCAATTTCTCCTCATTTTATCATATTAATAGCATCCTTTGATTCTTTGCATATTGCATAGTGTATCGTTAAAGCAAGGAATGATGATGCGATACTGTAGTGGAATAATTCATTTCATTTTATCCATCATCATATTGCTTACAAGTTACAACGCTCCATTGGTACGGCTCTTTTTTCAACCATACTGACCGTTATATTCTTCTTTTCTATCTAGTGGAACATGTGTTACAACTGCCTGCGTGGCCGGCAAATGATGTCATGGCGATTGTCTTCGCTTCTTAGTATCATCGTACTATTGCAACTTTCAAGCAGTCTCCATGCTTTCTATCTACCAGGAATTGCTCCAGTCTCTTATTGTAAAATTGGAACGGAAGTCGAATCCTGCCGTGTAAGCTTACGCAATTTTAAAATAACCAGAATACCAGTGTTAGACGCCAATTTTGCGCTCCTTTTCCTACACAACCAATGTAGAAACCAAAGCATACGATAAGAATCATTGGATCTATCGAGCGATACCAACCATTTTACTTCAGTCTATCTACGCATTGAAGTCCATTTCTTACTATACTCCATTAAAATATGTAGTAAAATGGCCTTAAAGTAATCTTATTAACCTACCAGATGCTGTCCTAGTACACGGGAAGAAAATGAATCCATTTGTTATTCTTACTTTAGCATACGTTCTAGACACCTTGAACGAAAATACACTATCCATTACTATATAATTTATAAAATCATAACTTAGAATGATAGCAATAACAAGTTGAACGTGCTAAATCAATAGTTGATTTTGGAGATTACTGCATTCATCTTTGATACATAGCTGTGTCTCAATAGCCATAAGTAAACTCAAATGGCAGAAAAGATGACTTGTTATTGACAGTACAAAATAGCCATAAGACATATCAATAGCTCGTTTAGCACTCGATTTTCACTACAACTTATCCAAATTGTTGCGCTATTTTATCACTATTTAACCAACCATAATCATTGTAAACACACTACGTACCTGCTATTTTGTCTCGATCTTTTTTTCACTAAATGCTTGCGTATTAATTAATTTTATTATCCTTTCTATCTGTAATTTAATCAACGAATTCATCCCCTATCTCATCTTGGATGAAATGGCAATATTAAAGTCTGACATTCCCATTATGGTGAACCGATTGGATAGTTCAGAATCTGTAATACCTTATGAATATTCATCGTAAGCTTAATAGTGCATAATAAAGGCATCGTAGTCTTATTACCGCTTGTTAGTCTATAGATCAGTCATACTGTCGTATGCTTTACGCAATGATACAGCTATTCAATTTTAAAATTTACCAAAATCAATGTTACTTATCGTTGTAATTGTCATATTGAAGCGGCTTCTCTGCTGACAATATGCACTAACTGTAACTTTATATACGTATATAATTAATTTATTAATGAACTAATTATACCCTTGTTTTAGGTTCGATTTCTGTAGTAGCAATATAACAACTTCTCCTGTTGAAAATTTAGGACAGGTAACTACGTATATTAATGTTGTCCTTATAATTTTTCATCATCATAAATACTCAGTTGCCGTAGGTGAATATCATTTATTAATAAATAAGTTGATGGCATTCACTATCAACAATCATCTCAATAACTTCTATATCGTTCTGGAATTAGCACCACATCATCATCTTGCCTATTTTCCATTGTTTTTATTCTGTATAAGAAGTAGCCATAACCTAACCCTCTTCAATAACGAATTAGAATGTCAACCATAGAGATTTTAAGTGGCCATGAGAAACTCGACACTGACTTTTACGGATCATTATGCCCGTTAACTGCCATCTTTTATTGCTTGTCAATTGAAAGTTCATTCCGTAGACTTTAAATCTGACGTACAGTAGGCACTCTTTTTAACTTATTAAACTGTTGCATGTACATTGCAGCCATCGTATCCAGTTCACAGTGTCCGATTATTACATCTTCAGTATCTTTTTTGTATTTCGTCTAAATTTAGGAATAGTGCTAACTTTCTATTTTAGTAATGATGATTAAAAATCGTCTCGTCGATCATTCCTACCAGTTGCAGTTGTTACTAACGAAGTAAATACAAAAAACACTCCAACTGCATAAATGACGTAATTATAACTACAGTATACATATTATTTATGATCTGTTGAACATTGATGAGTAGAATTATGTATCATTGAAAATCGTTTAAGGAAACAAGCATTATTGACATTAGACTGAAATTTTCACCAACTGACTATACAATAAATAGCGTACAACTACTTTTAAGAATTCCAGTTTTATTAGTGCATGTTTATAGACCGATTCGACTACATTAAGGGTAAATTAGCCATTAATTTCACAAGATTATTTCACCAATCTATTTACTATAAAAATATTGGGAACTATTTGGTATGATCGCTGGTTAGTTCTATAGTACTTTCGTTATACCTTGCAGAGGTAAACATATGTTCCTCGTTGGAGGGGTGAAGACGTAGATTACCATTAAAAAAATCTGCAAATTTCATAATGCGAGTATCCTACCTTGAGTTACTCAGGTCTCCCAGGATTTATAGAATGACTTGTTCAAAATGAATGCTCATTTTAGTAGTAGATGGTATTATAAGTTTACAGCTAGTATCCTTTATTTTCTGTACCTAACTGCTCGTTGATCGCCTTGTTTTTGATTATCGCTTTATTTAACTAAAACATAAAAAGACACAGATTGATACATGAAAATATTACCCTAAATATTACAAAGATAATATCAAGTTTTTCTGTGAGATTTGAGATATTAGTATTTCGTTCTTTATCAAGTTGAAACCAAACTACCTTTCCTACTTGTTGATACGACTTATATATACGGTAACTAAACAGTACTGTACAATTCTGCGTTTTGATTTTTTTTTGTTATAGAACTTCTCTCATCTCATAAAGTCATACTCCTATAAATACGAAACATAAATGCATGCTTATCAACATATAATTTACTTCATATAGCAGATTAAGATTAAGAACTTGCTAGATATCATTAATTTAATTAAAATAAAATTGTACTACGCGTACATTGATCCATGTTCAGTCTTTCTTTGTTCCTTTCAAAATTGGTGTATAGTATCTTTAATATTACTATAGTGCGATAATAATACGGTTAGTTACGTTATTAATTATACTACTCCATCATACTTTGTTATCATTTACCTAAATAAATGTACATCAATAATACCTTATATTCTTTACGACAGGTATTATTTGGTGAACGTATTCGGCCTTCGCCTTACAACGTAAGTTTCATAATCCAATTCTATTATTCTACTTAACCTGATCTGTTAAGTTAGTTATACTTATAATCAAATTATTACATGCAGATCAATTTCAAAGAAAATATCACATGTTCTAAAGTGTGTACCAAAGAGTATAATCCTAAGAACAATCAAGACGCAGCCAAGTTAAATATGCTAAGAAAAGGAATCACTAAAAATTATCAGAATCACTGGTTAGTTCAAGATGAAAAGAATTATAATTATCTGTTATGTACTGTTACACATAATCAATTATTGGCGTGCAATGACTGTTCGAGATGGCACGATTTTCTTTATGATTTATTTTCACGATTAATATTTCAGGATTATAGATAATATGCCCGTTACTTGGTGCTATCCTGTGGAAGGTAATAAAAGATACTGTTCAATTGGATTTCCTATCGGGTGCTATGTTGACCATGACGGTGCTAGGAAAAAAGCCTGCGTTCTATCAGTTAGTTCCTAGTATTGAAAGCTTAAAATCTGTATTTTAAATAAATGATATCAAAGCAATATACTTATAGACAATATTTACTCTTATAGGAAAAATTTTATGGCAAAAACCAGTATTTCATCTTTAATCATATCGATATACGAATTACTTATAACGATGGCGACCAACAGGAAAGTTCTGACGGGAAGAAGCTTAAACCAAATGGAGCTCGTCTACTGTCTGCAAAAGTTCAGCTACGAAGGTAATGTAGACATTACCTATGTGTATGTTACTATTTGTAAACAAACGATGCCTTATCTCGCTATTGATGGTAATTCATGTTGCGAAATTCATTTCTTATTCTAGTATTGACCATAAACCAGGAAAAATTGATTGTAATAATAAAAATCCCTGGAGCTTTCGTGAAGAGTCAAAGGATCGAATCAGCCTAGTCTATACATATTCCGTGTCATTTCACGTAAGGGAATATTAAGATAGATTATCTTGTTTTTTCACTGACGCTAAATAGAAACCCTGAGGGTCTCAGAGTTTCTAATGGTTAAGAGTTAGTGATTGATAACTGACAGACAGTAGTCCATATTAAGTGATCTTTATTGCTCGTGGTATCTTATAGAGAGATAATAGCAAGATGTGGGCCTCACGATGGGATTACATTCTAGATTCTATGCCCCATTCGAATATTCAGTGGTTCAGGTGAGATACAGTACTTTGCCCGTTATAATAGATTAACTATTAAAGTGTTATTACAATGGTATTTACGGTATTTTCTATTTTTGCTAACGTCTCCAGTATTATCAACTCTGTGGTTATCGTTCTCTTCCTTTCTGGTATGGTTGCTATGGTGTTGTTACGAACGCTACATAAAGATATTGCTCGTTATAATCAGTTGGATTCATTGGTTAGTTTCTTTCTATTCTGACATTTGAGACTAATATATTGCAGACATTGACTTGAAATCTACAATGATTTTTAAAAAATTTTAGGAAGATGCACAAGAAGAATTTGGTTGGAAATTAGTTCACGGCGATGTCTTTAGACCTCCTAAAAGAGGAATGTTGCTGTCGGTTTTAGTTGGCACTGGATCACAAACTTTTATAATGACCGTGGTAACATTGTGTAAGTCCAAGACAATCATATGACTTCACTTGTTCTTGTTATTGCAATAATATTGCACTTTCTTTCCTTTACAGTTTTTGCATGCTTGGGATTTTTATCTCCTGCTAACCGTGGTGGACTCATGACTTGCGCTACGGTATTTATTTATAGATTTATGCCTGCTTTTGTAATTTTTTTGATGACACTATTCGTTATTGTAGGTTTTGTACGTCTGTTTGGGATGTTGTGCAGGATATATTTCAGCTAGGATCTACAAAGGTAAATTTAATATCTATCCTAGGCAAAGCTAAAACAGTTGGCGTAAAAGTAGCCATATTAATTAAACCGTTGATAATTATGATTTGCAGCAATTGGTGGAGAAAAATGGAAAACTAACGTAATCATGACTGCCTTTTTCATACCTGGGTATGCATATTCTACATAACTGTATTTAACAGAAATTAAGATTACCAAGAAATACTTTTTTATTTGGTTAATAAATATGAACTCACCCTGTTCCAATTTAACACTAAATACTTGCTTTTAATTTTTCATTAGTGTTTGCTTTGCAATCTTCTTCCTATTGAACCTAGTGATGTGGGCAAGGCGATCATCTGCAGCTGTTCCCTTTGGCACTTTAATAGCCTTAATTGCTTTATGGTCAGTGTGACACATTACAATAGTTACTCGTTAGTAAACTTTCACCCCTAGTCTTGCTTACTGGATTTCTAATCTGATGTAATATTGGAATATTTCATCGTGTTGGTATTTGTCCGACGTAGGTTTGGTGTTTCAACACCGCTGACTTTTGTAGGAGCATTCTTTGGTTTTAGGAAAAAGGTAATATGCCAGTGTTGCTATTTTATCTTCTTTTAAGAAAAATAGATTATAGTAAGGTTTTATGGGAGTAACATCAATAAATCCATTTTTACTTTATAGACTATCGAAAATCCTGTCAGAACAAATCAAATACCTAGACAAATACCTGAGCAAGTAAGCTATTCAGTTATTACTCTATGGTAGTTCCTATCAAATAGCATAAGCGATTGACTATATTGATGCTTTTGTTACGCGTATATAGCCATTTTTCACTAGACCATTACCGTGCATTCTCATGGGAGGAATCTTACCATTTGGATGTATCTTTATTCAAATGTTTTTCATTATGAATAGCTTATGGTAAGCAGTACGTTGAAATTATTGATATGTAGCTTCAATAAACAGTATAGCATGGTTACTGAATGATAATATTGCTACCATTAATTATAGGTCACATCAAATATATTACATGTTTGGTTTTCTCTTCTTGGTATTTTCTATTTTGATTGTAACATGCGCCGAGACAACAATTCTATTGTGCTACTTCCATCTTTGTTCAGAGGTTAACAAAATCTATGATTACGGAAAATATTTGCAATATATTTGATTCATGTGGTATCATGATAAATAAGTTAATAAATTGACGACAGTCGTACACGAATTAGCAAGAGTGTGACTCTTATACATTGACGTTTCTACTTTGCAATAGGACTATCATTGGTGGTGGCGATCATTTCTAACAAGTGGTAGTACAGCTATCTATCTATTCATTTATTCAATACACTTCTTTATTTCAAATTTATCTATTACTGGTGGTGCAAGTACTTTCCTCTTTTTTGGTTATACCATACTCATGACGCTGCTGTTCTTCCTCTTAACTGGTAAGGAAACGTAATCATTCTTGGTTCTTGCAAATCATCTTGAGACCTTTCATTTTATATTTTTAAAACAATTTTAGGTACCGTTGGCTTCTTATCGTGTTACACATTTGTTAGAAAGATCTACTCCGTAGTGAAAGTAGATTAATCTGTACCTAGATCGTCTAGGTATAAATTTAGAGAAAGAATGTAATCATCTTACTGAATTATAAAAATTTAATTTAGTATCACAATAATAACATCTACGATAGCATGTCAATTTAGTGCTTTAAATAACTAGAGTAATGAATTTCATAAAGACTGGAGGCGCATGTAATTTATCCCATAATACAATACCTTCGTAATATACGTATGATGTATTATTTTATTTGGCATTTAATATATGGCGTCTGATAAACTACCACTTGATTGAAGAGCGGTATACCTGGAAAAATATATAGCTGCAGTACAGCATATTGATTATATGGTTCTGAAATATAAAAGTTCAATGTTGCTTGTACTGATAGTATAGAATTACGATAGGCTAAGGTTATAAATGGTTATATTTTGTTTAGAAAATGGTTTCACTTAGCAGTGCAGAATATATCTTTCTGGTATATGTGATTCAAAGGGGGGTACTACTGTACCGTAGGATGAGTATCTATTGATGCCTCTATTTGGAAATAATATTATTTTAACTTGAATTGCGGTAGAGCTTTGTTGTTTTTGTTTGCTTATGTAAAGGTTCATTTCGAATATATAGCAAATGCAAGTTTGTAATCAATCAACCTCTATGCAACTAAGCATTCACCGACAATTGTATAACTAACATGAATAGTATACAAGTATAATACTAAAATTGTGTAATTAGTGCAACATTTGCTTTGCATCACTGAATCATAGGCTTCTTGATTATGCAATTAAAAAGTACAATAACAACTTTGAAAAAGATGTATCGGTTGAAATTTTTTACTTTGGAAGGCCAGCTGGTTGATATTGTGACATGGTAGTATTTGATACGCCTATGTGCAGTTGTCTACCTAAGCACAGCGGCATTTTGTTGTATCAGAGTAAATGGTTATCATTTTATATTACTGTATGCAACGTATGAGTTATTACGCACAGTAACAATATTAATTGATTGAAGGTGACAGATAAAACTAAGAGAGCGTCTAATATATTGCAGGCGATTCTCGTTCTTTAGTCATCTACTACTGTATAACCTGCGCATAAATTGTGACTATTGTCGTTGTTGTGCAGTAAGTGATTGTCGTATAATCACCCCCTCTCGATTTATTCCTTTATCAAATCGATCGTAACACAGCACATGGTATAACAAGAGGATTGTATGTGAAATATTGTAAAATTTTTACCCATTTTATTTTATTCAGTGATAGTCTTCGAAGTTGATGTAACAAGATACCACATTCTTTGTGTGAGTTGGAGCAAGTAGTACAAGTAGTAATGTGATTCATTCATGCCCAAGCATGTCGACTTTTTCTTTAGAAGGGGCATAACAAGGCTGGTTAATATATATCAATAATTCTAATTGATTTTTCTTTCGGTTGCATGCTCCTGAATTACCTGGCTCACTGCGTATGTAAATGTAGTACGCTATTAGAATAAGCTATATAACAGGGATTCTATAGCGTATGCAATTTCTATCTCCCTTACTCAAGGTGTATCCCGTGGTTACTTAATTCATCAAAAACTAATTTTAATTCAACATCTGTTGCGTTGCATATAGTACTGGTGAAAGCCGATGCTTGCAGAGATCTTTTACATCAAGTTATTGCTACGGTACGGCACGCATGAAATGCTAGCGCAAGTAGGGGGAACCCTATTAATGGAGATCGTGCAGCTGATACCCGTGCAAGGTGCAGTTAACTAAGAATATGCTTATCTGCTACATAAGAGGCATCACGAAATTAATTTAATCTATTAGCAATTACAGTATCATTAATCATTTTTTGAGTCGTATACTCCTAAAATACTCGTAACTCTTGGAGATTTACGCGTATATAGTTGCAACAGCTGTGCGCTTTTTATGCAGATTGATAGCTTTAGTAGACTGGCATTAGACATTGCTGGCACACGACTTGTATATAGATAGACTATACAGGTAAAAGAAAAAATTGATGGTGTAGTCGGCATCATCAAGCTATAATAGTTCATTTGGTAATGAATAATAATAATTATGCCGGTACTATTTCATATCGAAAAAGAATAATTATATACAGTTCACAGCCTAGTCAGAACATGACATAATGCCAATCTTGCTGAGTTAGTGTACTATATCATCTGGCTCAGATCTGGCAACGTGCACTAATACGGTACAGTACCATGTCCTTAGTCTTGACCATGGTATTATAGAGGGTGCGATACACTATGACAGTAGAAGTAGTAAAACACTAGAAAGAAATCATCATTCAGCGATCCTCTTTGAGATTTCATCTTCAATCACTTCTTGGCTATGACGAGATGAGCAGAAACATTCGATCATGTCCTTCATGATGGCCAATTAATTCAACCAGAATAGAAATTCAAGCTTATAGCCTATTAATTAGATTAATTCATACGATCTATTTTTCATTCCTTGATGCAATCTTCTGTGAAATCGTCCAAGAAATTATCCATGATAACTTCACAAAGTAATAACAACAACAACAACAACAACAACAATATTACCGTTGAAAATGTACCGGTCTTCGCTTTCCCGACTACGTTATCCTTCATCGAGAATGATAAATCGAGTTACAAGCAAATACTTACTATTTATAACACTTACGATTTTACCGTACGGTTTAAAGGTAAATCGACAGACTTACTTTCATGTTTGGCTCTGTAGAATGTTATTATGATCAATCGGAGAAAAGTATTTTTATTCAAGTTGACAGCGCAAGTATAGAATAGATAGTACTATACTCTCACTGCATGATTTACTTTTGAAAGGTACAGTATAGGGTATTGAAACTTACTGCAGCTGATGATTATAATATCTAAATACTAATCTAAGTACGGTGGCAATTCCTAACAGAAAAATTTTAGTATCCTACCTATTGGAAGTAGGACTCTTGTTGAAGGATTGAGTACAGCATTTGTCGTTGATATTTTACTTAAGGTACAATACGATCGACTGTATAATGTATAGTACTGTATACAACAAAGCAACTCTGATAGCATTAACATCATCAAAAAATAAGTAAATAATGTTTACATCACAGAATGACTGTCGCCTTGGTAGAGGATAAGACTTTTTCTGGTCTATCTTACTTTACCTACAATGCTACAAGACTTCAAAATTAGTACATACCTACTACATACCATAAATACAAGAAAGTGAATTAGGTAGCATTGAATAATAATCATTATCGTAAACAGGATTTACGCCTCTACTAGGACATGAAATGATCAATACTTTTGTAAAGGACAAGCTGTACTCTAGTTAACAGTACTTTACCTATAACTCTACTACAAGAAAAAGGAGGTCAAAATTAGGATATGTCAGAGAGATACAGGAGAAATACCTCCGTTGTACATTTATTCATATAGTACAGTATACAAAATGCGACTTTGACAACATACTGTAGAATGATCATGATAATAAACATTGTTTTCACCTATAGACTAGAACATGGAATGACATTTATCTTAATACATGACACCATACACTCTAGTTAACTTTAATGTACTTTTGCTATAACCCTACAGGATTTAAAAATCTGTCAAACTTAGTGCATCATGCATACCCAGTACGATAAATTATACGGACAAGAAAGCGACCCAGGCAACATACGCATAAACATGATAATAATAAACGTTGTTTACATCTGTACTAGAACATGAATTGATAGCTATTTTAGTATAAGATAGTAAGTACTCTAGTCATTTCGCTTGACCTACAAGAACTAAAAAGTATATATTTAAGAAAAGCGACTTTCAATATAGAATGATCATAACAAGGAATATTGTTTCTATACCATAGAATAACAATTTCCTTGTAGATAATGAGATATACTTTAATCGGCCAACAAGAATTAACAACTAGCATGTCAAAATTAGTACATACTGTGTAATATATAAAGTATTACGTAGATAGCGATGAGCTTTGATGATGACTTGTTTGTCTCATCGCTATACTGTGTCAAGCTATTGCAGAACTTATTACACTATGCTGTACTATAACTACTGTATATCTGATCACACCTTTACTTGACTAATGATTATACTGTACTGTATATAGTATTGCTATTTTTAGGACTATCAGCATATTTTACTATACCCTAGTCTTATGCCACAATCTAAAGCTGTAATAATTATAATTACACTTTATATTACGTTAATAGATTATACTTTACGTGTATACCTTAAAATCAATCAATGAAATATTATTTCTTTCTTCTTTTCTACATAGTGCTATCCAATTGTCCGTCGAATTATGTCCTATCCGATAGTGAAGGTTTAATCAAGACTAAATGCCGTGTCGATATGTTAGTAAGCAGAGATCTCATCTTACTCTCTAGGTTGATGATTCTGTATCAAATTACATTCTTTCACAGAAACACATCAACTCTATAGACCTGTATTACAATGTTCAATATTCAATAGCATTGGCTACACTACTGTCAATTGACACAAAATGAGTGTTAAATGTAACCACAATATGAATTTGATTTGCCTAAATGACACAAAACATGCTATAAGTTATATCGAACCAAGGGTTTAAAGAGAAATCATCACTTCGTAAACTTGAAAAGCTCGTAGTTATATCGGTACAATTTGTTAAGTTTGTGCTATTTCCTGGTAAAAATTAAATTACTAAACGCTATACAGGAACCTACAAAATTACACTAATAATAATAGCTCAAGCTGGAACTCTAGCTTAGTTTTCCTTTTCCGAGCGCTTTAATAAATCACTCTCGACAACTTAACATCAATAAATGGCTAGTTGATAACCACACCTTGAGCAGACAAGAATCTGTAATTTAGTTTCATTTGGTCAAGTATCGGATATCACTTACATAGATCGCATTTAAGATTAGCTGTAGCTCAGCTATGAATGTTTTGTCTCATCTAGATTAATACGTTTTAATGACGAAAAACCGCTGCAAGATTTGCATAACAACAAGTTTCGTATTCAGTTATACGAACATGGTGTAGACAAAATCATTGGAAAGAGAGATATCAAAGTTGCCGTCGAAAGCGGATCTACAGCTGATAATTCCGATAACCGAAATTCAGTAAGTAATTGACATTAATATCACAAGTGATCATGTTGTAATTCAATTTATACTTCTCGAAATAGGACACAGGATGTCTTTTAATAAATTTATCATAACCTTTGCAGATTAATGATAATAGTCAAAGTTTCATGCAACGCCATGGCAGCAACAATATCAACGATTCACAAGGTTTGACGGTGTTATAACCTTGATTATCATTTACCATTTATTTATTCTGTGGCTAAAGTATAACATTTATAGCTAATTTATGGTCCGGATAGTTGTTCCCAAGTTCGAGTTAGCTAGCAAGTACTTGTCCATGTAATAATCGTTTAACACGTATCCGGTACATTACCATCTACCATTCTGCACTCACAATTGCGATTGCATAATACTATGTATTCGAGAAATATAGATGTACCTCAATATGACATTTTAGTAGCAGTACATTGCTTCTTGCTAACACTAGCTCCAAATATCTTTCTCACATTACTAGATAGTGGCATTAATGTAATCGTTGTCCTATTGGCCATTATTTGTATTGCCATTTTGCTGTTACCATTGCCAGAAGAAAAAGCGGGCAATGTACCAACTTTTCTTCATGTTCCTGTGACTTACAAGCTTATTGCATCGTTTTTACTCGGAATGGTCACCTTGGCAGTATTAAGGAACTAGAAGATAGCGTCAGTTATCAACAGTAGATGTACAGGATGACGTTGTAACGGCTCAAAAATGTTTAAAAATCTTTATATTTAGTAGCTGTACTGTCATAGCTACAATCCTCTTACAAGAGCTTAGCAGGATGTTACTAAAAATGGAAAAAAATGATGATGTATGGTAATAAACTAAATTTTTACGCTGTTCTATTTTAAGATCTAAGTCTTTGAATTATGTAAGATACTTACCCGCTCTAGAGGTATGGTACCGATATTCTTTTCTAAAAAATTTAAAGGGAATTTACCTTCTTTTATTGTAGCAATTTTTCTAATTTGCGAAATAACATTGTAACGTTTCCAAGATTGTCTGTGTTGGAGTATACCATTCATGTAAAATAATGTCCTTGCAGTACTTATCTGACTAGAACACTTTGAGCTATAGCTGATTTCAATGTCAACAAACTTGCGCTTACTCAGCCGGCGTGATTACACGTTAACATTTTGGCGCATGCTTCATACTAATTCATATAGGAGCAATTTCAGATATATAATTACGATCAATTTTTTTATTTCAGTATGTTCTGTCGAATTGTTGATAAATACAATACAATGAGTTCCTTTTTTGAGCTATTTTATGTATCATATGTTAATAGCTTTGTGAAAAATATTACTAACGCACTTTGTGTGCATACAGCGTCTGTATAAAATTCATGTAAATTTCGTTATTAAAGGTAAGAATAAACTATACCTAAAATTTTATCTTCATGAAATTACCAACACAAAGAAAGCAATAGTGTATATTTTAGAGTGTCTAGTTTTTTGGACCGTGGTGACGGTTGCTTCTCCCTCGGAGCATTAGCATTATATACAATGTGATATAACATAGATTAAGTTAATCTTCCTTTCGTATGATAAAACACGGTTCCTAAGACAGTCTGACCAAATTGCCCATGTAATAGATTTACTCTTCCTAATTAGTAAGCCGATGAATTACCTCCTGTGCTATTCATTATGCTTACTAGAAGATCTCTTCTTTTTGTGATGAGATTTCCGGTCCCGTTTCTCTGATCGAATAGACTCGCGCTGGCTTTCTTCCTTGTCCGCAGAATCTCGGGATCTATGTTTATGCTTTTTCCTACGTTTTCGATCTACGTGATTATCGCTATCATGTGTCGGTGATCGTGACCGCTTCGATCGCTTTTCATGACGATAATTATCATTGTCTCGACTAAAATCCAACGGTTTTCATCATAAATTAAGATATTTAAGGTAAGGTTAATAATACAAAATAGTGCATACGACCAGCAATAGTTACATCTACATATCTATACCTTCTGTCACGTCGATTATGTCTATCGTGCCAATCGGACCTTCTCACTCTATCATCATGATTGCGGTGCCTATCGGAACGTGAACTTCTATTCTCTATTTTACCATAGTCTCTCACGGAACGATTATTATTAAAACTATGTCTTCTATGTCTATCATTAAAGGCAGATCTTGTAGACTGTGCTACAGGGTTTTCAAAAACATGCAAAAAATTGCAATGCTTTCCTTTTGGACAGCGTTTTTGACGAAACAAACCTTAAAGGAAAGTAAATAGGTTTATGATAGTTACGAAAATGTATCAAACAATCGGTACAGGTATACAAGTAAATGCAATATTGAAGCAACGAACCACATATAGCAGACTTCCAATTATTAACCGGAGAAAATTGGCAAAATAACTGCCGCTGTGCGTACCAACGACCATGAAACATCCGAAAAGCTTTATGGCATTCTTCTTCACTATAATATCAGATTTAGCAATAAACCTTAGTACAATTATCATTTAAGTTTTCCTTATTCTCAAGTAGGTCTTACCTCTGATACTCTACATACACATTACCGCGAAGATGAGGCTCATAATTACAGCAAATCTTGAAAAGATAATTGATAAACAGCAATTACAATTAATAGAAAGAAAAGCATTTGTTAAATAGATATCATAAATCATATTCATTAGTAAATAACTTCATGACTATTCATACTTTAAATTCTCTAATTTCGCCAGCAGCTTGAAATTCTGGATAAATATCGTTATAAAATTCTATAAATTGTGATCTTAAGTCATTTTCGGAGTACTAAGATAACGACAACAAAAGGTACCATGAAATCTTTCCAAAACTATTAAAAAATAATGGATTCTGTTAATTACTTCTAAGTTAGTATCAAATTCTTGTTCATCCTGTAAACCTTCCGATAAACCAATACTCGTAAACATATTTGGTATAAGGAGCACACGACTACTTTCAGGATGTACATGTAAGCGAGAACACCTACGGAAAAGAATGTTTTGACAAATCTAAGTAGCCCGATATCTGCACGTATAATCTGTGTTGCATTAACAATTATAACCTATCTCCAAATCTGCAAACTCCAGTTTTATTGAAGAACGGGCATGGTTTTGATTCAACAAAAGTCTGTAAAAAGTGAGGCATATGTGGTACAACAATCATAACAGATCACTAAAACATTAAACAATTCACAACAGCTATTGCTGCATAATCTTATCATTGCATTTAAGAAGGAACATTTCTACTTAGAGATGATGCAACCATATTTACCTCTTCGCCTTTAACATACTGATTGTTAGTTGACGCAGCAAAGGGATTATGGAATGGCGTCTTATCCTAATGAATTTTATAACATTCATATTAAACATCAAACAGTCTCAGAAACTTTAAGATCAATTAATTACGTAAATAAGTTGCATCCCTAGCTATATTTACTGAATATTGAAAATAAAGTTGAGAACAATAACCTGATTTGATTCATCCGCATCGCTGCCAGATGTGTTGCTTTCCTAATTTGAGGTTTATTAAGTTAAGCGAAGTAACATAGTCATAGGCTAGTTAGTTTTTACAGTAGCCCTATTTAATCGTTTAATTTGCGTAAAGTCATTAACATTTTAAATCAGGCTATGTCGCCACAGAAAGTATAGCAAAATTTTATAATCCTCAAAGCTACAAAGAATATCAATTAACAAGTTTGTAGGTCGTATTTTTAAAATGTATATGGCTGTATAGACTTAATATCTACAGTATACAGCCTCCATAAGAAAATTAACAACATAATATGGTCTACCAGAACATGATACAAATAACATGAAAGCCAGTCAATTTCCTGATAATCTGTTTCCATACTAACATTATTTTCCGCAGCCTATGATATTTGCAGAAGAGACAAATTTTTAGCGAAATACCGTCATTACAGCATCATCAAGATCTGTATACAATCAAATAATTGTACTCACCCTTTGCTTCTCCTCTTCTTGTATTCTCTTGATTAGTTCCTGCCTAGACTGGAATTCATTTCTAAATTTTTCCTCCTTTTTTAGCCATACCTGATGCAATCTAGCTCTATTCAAGCCATTACATGAAGAATTAACATTAGACATATGCACCTATAGAAAGTGTCAATTCAAATAGAATATAAGTCGTAAAAATAAATTACCGTTCCTTCAATTCCTCCTCTTCTTTACCTACTTGAAATTCCTCATATCCCTCACTGTTGAAACAGTCATAAGATGAAATCAATAAACAGTCTTTACCATTTCGTCAGTAATTCACTCCAATGCGTATGCCATATTTAAATATGCGTACGTAATTTGATACTTACATACTACCATGCTTCTCAATTACGGCGTCAAGGGCTAACCAGATATGCAACAGTAGTAAAAAATATTCATAAATAAGCTAACAATTGAGCTTTCGTCAGTACAAACGTAGAAGCAGTGTAATAAATTTTAATAGTGATTATAATTACGAAGGATCTAGAGAATTAAATTGCAAAAGTAACGTTGAGTAAGATAGAATGGAGAATGCATACATTCACTATATTGTTTTGCAGGTCATTACTACTATATGGGTATAAGTATACTATGATTAATCCCTAAATCTCGATTTTAATAACTAATGCAAATCTTGAAAGTGATAATCACATCATTCAATGCAACATTCTCCACTGCCTATGATGATATAAGTAAGGGCAATAATTCCGTAAAACTTGAATATTATTTCGTGCACTATCCACCTTTGGGGTTTGTGTAAAACTTATACATGTATTCTTTGTCAGTAAACACGATCACCTGCAGCAGCTACGACTACACATATTGGAGGTGCCATGCATAACACATCGAATCAAAATTTGAACAATTTCAGACAAAGGTCATAATATCTACTATATGCTATATAAATTTTAAGGTCTCTTATAGTTAATTTATATATTGCATAGAGTACTTTTAGTTTGTTCAGCTTCCTTTTCCTTAGCTAATATGATTCTCTTTTGGCGACGTTTTTCCTTCTTCAATAATTGCCTGCGTTGTTTATGGCTGGAAAGAAGCAGAATATCATATCAATCTATTGAGCATTTAATACAAAAATTTAATCATCTGAATGATACAAATAATTCTGTTACGTTAGCTTGGTCGATTCATTAGCATCATCGCCATCTGCGGCCATCATTGCAGCAGCAAGGTTGCTCTAACTTAATCAATGTCTGCAAGATGCTCGACTAAATTAACCCTTTATTTATTGATGATATATTTAGGAGGAAAATGATGCTTGTCCGATGGCCCTTTTTCGAACTACAGTACAATTTGTACAGTACATGTACTGTACCAGAGTGCAATTTTCCTGAGCATCGTCCTAGCAGTTAAGATCAGTTATGCTACTAGAACATGTCATAAAAATCTATACTTTACTAGTGTATGAGCGTTTTTCTTTTTGCTCTGTATGAGTATTGATCCCGTCATGACAGCATCAGTCTAATGCCCTAAACATTCACTAGTCATAAAGAATTTGACCGGACTACGCGACGATGGTAGAGTTAATTTTGTCGACTTGGAAACAGACTGCGGTCAACGTACTACAGTAGCCATCGCCGTACTGCACTGTACACTGTACAGTGTACAGTACAGTGTACAGTACTGTACTGTACTACTCTATCGTACCGCATACAGTACAATGATTACCTGTAGACTGTAGCCGTTTTGTATGCACCACACGACTGCATTGCGCACTAGCATCATTTGACTGGATTACCCCTCGACCATCCCATCTAATCAAGATGGCTGCTCGTATGTGTTTAAGGATTGGTGAGTTTCATCGGCTATTCGTGACAACGTGATTAGGCTGTATAATTATTCGCATGTTATTAAAACTATTTTAAGCCTTAGATTGGAATAAGGAACGATACAATCTCATTTTACTCGTTAAACATTGATGTTATCTAGCTACAATAAGCCGTACTTCGATTTTTCGGAGTTCCCCGTTGTCTCAAAATCAATCACCATTTCTGAAAATCAGACCTGGTAAATGTACATTTCATCTCTTGGATACTTTAAAGCTAAATTAATGAATATTAATAGATATTAATTTATAACGATATTGGGGCTAACAATAAAATTCTTTCTTAAACACTTTTTCTCAGCTATGATTGGTCTTTCAAATGTCAAACAGCTGCAAACTTCATCGTCTTGTTTAGGTTGTACTAGTATTATATGTACTCTTAACGAACGGCTGTATTCGAGAGATACTGCAGTGATAGTAGTGCCAGCGTAGTTTAAAGCTAAAGTAATTGAGCTTAATGATAATTATGCAATTATCTAATTAATTGTATGATACTATGTAAAGTAAATTAATGGCTGTAAGGCCTCCGCATGTTAATAGAATGACTGTTTGTACGTACACCGTTATCTTACCATGTTTTATCATACGTGCCTTCAGCTAAATCAGATAAAAAAGGATCGCCTGCTTCCAGCCACTGGAAATCTGAGAGAATTGTTTCCGTTGCCTTATTAGCAGCATTACCGGCTGGTTATTTATATCCTGGAAATATCGTCGACTATTCTTTGGCTATCCTAATACCTCCTCATGTTTATTGGTAAGTCTTTATTATTAACATGTACAGTATTGTAGAATACGTATGCAAAATTTATCATTGCCTACAAGTACACTTTAACCTCACGGAAGGTTATTAGCCTACATTATGCCTACATGTAGGTATTAAAAAAGACTGTTTACCCGTCATATCTACTTGTACAGGGGCTTTAATGGAATAATTGGAGATTACTTACCCAAATCTCTGGTAGGAGTAACACAAGGCGCGATCATGATTCTTTCTGTTATGACTTTTATTGGATTAGCCTATTTCAACTATAGCGATGTGGGAATATGTAAAGCGGTTGAAATGCTCTGGCAAATGAAGACAACATAATATTGCTATGCAAATGCTTAATCTCTCGAAAGATTCTCTGTCATGTACTATCGGTTCTGTACTGTATGAGATGAGTAACATGCTATAATATTGCCATTTGAAGAGATACTTTTTATAACATTCCTGATACTTGGTTGCATATTTAACAACGAGGACATGTTTTTGCAAACATTTTTATATTATCGCAAACTAGTAGCTCATTGCCTATTGTAGTAGTCTTGATAAATCTAAACTAAAAATGAATGGATTTAATAGACAAACTGCTCCTTATATTGCAACTAATTGTATCTTATGTCAATTAAGTCGTACTGTAATATTATAATAGTGCTTCTTTCATGACATACCCACAATATTCGATATGTAGTTTGTTATACTTATTGACAATGTACTTAGCTCATTAATATTTCTTGCAATATAATTTATCCTTTGCATCATTTATTTTAATATCAACAACTGTTGCATTGGAGACATCATTAATAAAGTATCGTATTAATTCTATTCCGTCTTAAGTATGAAGATCTTGGTATGAATTATTTCCATCATAATAAACGTCATGCAGTAGACTATACGTATATAAATCGCACTCAAAGCCTGTAGTTCAATGTACAGTATTACTCTCAGATATTCCTGCTTGATAGTGAATAGTCTAAAAAGTTCTAAAACTCTGAAACACGTAGGACTCTGGACTAAAGTGGGAAAATCTATCGTTTCCTTTACTTTACCCCTATCGGTATAGCTTTCATCTGATAGTAAAAAGTAATACTATTCCAGTTGAATTGAGTCAGTATCCCAATACAGTACTAACTTGAGGTAAAAAATAATAACGTAATGATGATGATCAATTTAGGCCTTGACAAATGGCACTCAACATGGACTACTAGAAAAAAGTTCTTAGTAGTCTTCCACGACTTATTATACGTTAACATTCACCCACGGTTTACCTAACAGAAGTACTTCCAGGGTATTTATCTTACTCTATATCGCTACATAGTCTATCGATGATTGCCACATCCATTAGTAAACTAAGGATTAGAAGAAAGACTCGAAATGGTCAATCTCTTTCTCAAAACTAAGGACTACTAGAAGTCCTGACTGGCTTACTCCAGCCTAACCCTTGTTCCTCGATTGGGTTTCTAGGTTACAGTAGACTTCACTTCGGAGCAACTCGGTACTAGTACCAGTACCGGATCTTAATTCAAGCGCGGTCTGGGCGCTTGCGAGCAGTAGGATGCTATAGCTCAGTAGTCTACCGCAAGTCCTGTATCAGCATTACCTCTGCTTAACAAGCTGATACTACTTTAGCCCCATTCTGTCGCTCTGTCTTTCCGTCCCCTGTCCAATTGTGTTGATGCAAATGAAGCTCTCAGGCTGCCTAGAAACAGAAATTACACTAAATCACAATGGCCGACAGCCCGTCTGATCAATACGACTATGCCGATAAAGTAAGAAAAAATAACTCTATCCACTCTCTAGTATGAGATAAAAATAACTATCGTAAAGTTACATTTATTAGCTCTCTTTTGGCTTAAATGCAATGGCAAACCAGTATCGATTTATCCTTGCATGATCCTTTTAAACACGCTTTCTGTTGCCAATTTTCCAAAATTTCGCTGTAATATTCATACACGGAGCTGTGAGTTAATCCTGTCCTAATATGAATTTTTGCGCTATATTCTTGATTTTCTACATCTTAATAGACTATCGAATATCGACGGCCTTTATTAAAGAGTGGTGATACAGTTTTATAACTATTTTCAGTTGTTATTATGTCGCGAATAGCATTGCGCATAGTTGACGAACTCGATAAAATGGCCAATAGTCCTATGTAAATCAAGCAGTTAAGCAAGATCTGGACAGCTTCGATAGCCTTTACTCCATCATAAGGCTGTAGTTGGAGAGATAGAATACTGTAAATGTTTTTATTGGCATAATTAGTCTGGATGATTTAATATATCATCATGCTTGTGATCGGATAAGAGTATTATGGTGGTTATTCGTGTTGAGAACCATCATGAATAACTGCCACGTTTGATCAATATTTGATAGATTGTACGAGTATACGTACGCACGTTAATCACCACATCAAAATCGTAATAAAGCAACCTAATTAGATATAAGGGAGGTAACTTTTAACTTCTTTTTCAGGGTAATCTGGTTGCCAATCAACATTATGACGAATCATTAAGTGTGAACGATGACGAAGAAGTACCAAGCCCCCGACCTGGTATGCCTACAAGACCACGAAATGCAGGCGTTAAAAGAGGAGGACGAGGAGATTCTCCTCCAAAGTCTCCTGAAGCTAGTAGTGATGAGTTCAGTATTGACGAAGTAAGAAAATTATAATGTTAACAATTTTATCTTAAAATTATATTTCAGACAGAATTATTACCTTAGTTATTTGCTTCAATATTCACTAGAAAAGATAGTTACAGAACATATTTTAGGGAATAATTCGTCTCAATAGCGACTTTTCTATTATCTGATTAACATGATGTTATTCGCTCAAGGAACTAACTTTTTTTTTCAACAGCCCTCTGGTATTCAACCACAACCACCGAAAATAAATCATCCAGTTCAACCCCTAGAGCGTAGCTATGCAAACGCTAATAATAGCAGCAGTAATAATAATGGTAGTAATAAACACAGCGCAACTAGTCGTTCCGCTCATACACATTCTGCTACCAAAATACAACAACATAAGAGTGGCGGATACGAAATTGATGAAGACGATGATGATCAATCCGTATCAAGCGATGATGAAAAAGATCAAAGTAACGATGCTAGTCACCATGAAGGACAAGAAGGGTATAGAGATATAAAATTTTAAATCATTACCGTGGCTAGCCTCGATTATTTTATTTCTCTTTAAAGCTTATGAAGGTTATGAATTGACTGCCTGTATTAATTGATATCACGCATATAGGGCTTACGATCCTGCTGAATTTGCTAATCTCCCTGTTAACAGTGAAATCAAGGATTTATTTCAGTATATAACAAGGTACAATCAAAAATGAAATAGCTACATACTAATTGGTATAGTAATAATATATATGAAATGAACTATCTCGGAATTTAACATAGTTATGATCTATCACAATTTAGGTATACGCCTCATTCGATTGAATTGGACACCAAACTTAGGCCCTTCATTCCAGATTATATTCCTGCCGTTGGTGATATTGATGCTTTTATTAAGGTAACATAATAACAATCTTTCTATCACATAAGAAAGAATGTTCTCTTTGCTGACCATTGTTATATTGGCATATACTAGGTTCCACGTCCCGATAATAAAACAGACACATTAGGAATGGCTATACTAGATGAACCGTGTGCCAACCAATCAGATCCTACAGGTATGATAAATAACTTTCAATCAAAGACATAATTAAATCATATCTACATCCTCAATATTTTCTTTACACTTGGCAGATGAGATAACAACTCGTTTTATCTTATTGGAATTTTTAGTTCTAGATTTACAGCTGCGTACTATCTCTAAACAGAGTTCTGCGAAATCAGTGGTAAGAACTTTTGATAGTCATAAGTTTCATTGAAAATTAGTACATTAAAAGTATTATAGCATATATACAAACATAAAGGAATGAACTTATGCCTAAATTTATATTTATAAATATAAAGTAAATTTATTGTCTACCATCAAAAACAATTATAGTCGATAAGAAGTATTGATCATGCCGACAAGAATTCTAAAGCTATCGATGCATGGATCCAAAGTATAGGGTAATTTATAAATTCTAAAAGTTTATAAAAAACAAGATTGGAAGAGTATGTAAAAGTTAAAACTTATTAATGATTTCGTCGTTTATTAGTGAATTGCACAGACAAAAACCACCACCAAATGTCCATTATACAAAGTATGGCCATAATGCGCTAACTTAAAATTTATAATATTAAATTTTACTTAATAGTATTACATGATTTACCCTTGTCTCTCATAGCGTTTTGAGATTTCCTCCTACAATTTTATTATTTATTCTACAAGTGATTTATATTCTGAATACATTTGTTAGAAATATGCCCGATGTTGAATCTTTAATGCAAGAATGGCCTGCAGAATTTGAAGAACTACTAGAAAAAGTAATTGTACTTTATGACATGAATGTAAAATGCCAGATTTTAGTTTGTTAAACTAATCGCATGACCTCTCAATGACATACAATACAGGTTGGGCTACCAACAGCTGACTTAGATTGCGACTTGAGTCAATATGTAGATATTGTTTTAGGTATGTTGTCGATAATTAACTCCAGTTATTATATACCCAAAGCTGTTCAGATAATTTCTCCAAGGAAGTATTCGTAATTGACTAAGTGTATACTTTCTTAGGTTTACTGGATATCCCCGTTTACAATAGCAAAATAGAATCTCTACACGTCCTTTTCACGTTATATTCTGCATTCAAAAATTCACAAGTTAGTATCTATTTGATCATCTCTAATCGAACCCTAATAATTAATCTTTCTTTCAGCTTATTAAATTTTATAAACATTGTACATGTTAAAGATTATAATATTTTTTATCAATTTCAGCATTTTCGTAATTTGGCAAAAAGTGACGCCGAAGTCTGGGATGCAAACGAAACGAATAATACAGATCATGCAAACCAAAATGATTTTTCGTAGCTTTTACCAACTTATAGTGTCTAGTCTATAAATATAGGTCAGGACTTTTAAGCACGAATAGTGAATTTGATATCAGAACTGATATTTTATTTGCATTGGTTCGCACTCTTTGACCTTTAGATTTATGTATTATTGCTTGTATTTATATAGTTCAATCTAACTTAAATTGCTGAAAGTATGTACAAGATATTTTAATAGGCAGTGAATGCTCCTTTTTAGTTATGGCTGTCCAATTTCATAATATATACATAAAGATTGACTATTCGTAGGTACTTTGATAGCATTCTATGTGAAGCAATGCTAAATAGCTAGCATAAATCAGCTGTTTAAAACAACGTTTTACATTTAATATTATCTTCTTATCTACTTTACATTATTTCGTTTAGTAGCTAAGTCTGCTTCTTATTCAGATGATGCTGAAGAAAATTAGTATGCAATTCCATTAGAAACTTGTGTATCATACTCGTATATGAACTAAAATGGATACTGCAATTAACAGTTTATCCATGTTTAGGTTGATGCTATTTTCAATTTCTTGCTACTTAATATGATATTCATAGCTAAAGTGCATATAATACTTACATTTTAAAACAAGAAATGATTATATTCTCTGCTAAATTACTAAGAAATAAAGTGGAGTTACAGAAATTTTAAAAATGTATCACACCTGACAATTGTCACTGACACTGAATAGGATCAAGATTCCGAATTTCAGAGAAAATCTCCTTTTTAATTGTAAGATTTACAGTTTACGATACACTTGAGATTCTCTGCTGTATCACTACTTAGTTATTCGATCACGTTAGTCTATTAGTCTATCTTGAGAAGGGAAAGGGAAAAATTTTATTTCTCTAACACAGATTAGGATCTTAAAATAAGAGTGATTTTAATTTAGGAAGCTATCTTGCTATACGTTTGCAATCAGTGATGTTTTTGATATTACGTAATGCTATGTCAAGTTCAGTATTTTTTAGTTGAATCAATTTCCTAATCCATGTTGATTTTTATTAGATCACCTTCTCTAAATATAAATTAAATATGAAAGAATTGATTGTATTCAATAAATAGATTTATAAAAAACATATGCTTTGCTATACAAAACATTTCAATATTGAACTTTGAGAATGACTTATGGATATTCAATAATTAAGGTAGTGTTGGTTTATGCATTCAAGAAATACCAATGTCAAAACTTAATAGTTTAGATATTAAGTTAAATTTAGCCACTTTACGCGGCGCGGCATATGTTGTGTAATTTATAACTAATCATTCAAACAGTCAGACAGAGAAATCAGGAAAATCATTCAAGATGGCTGCTAGGAAAAGGACTTCCAATTCAATATTTTTATCCTTACTACTTTTGCAATTCATTTTCTTGACCAATGCGAGTTATCTTCGTACGCTATTTGATGAAATAGACGATAGTAATCCATCCTTAATCCGTATACCGTTAAAACGATCAAATCATTTACAGTCTTCTGCCAATGGAAACTTAAATAATAGAATGTTTAAGGATCCCATGACAGGAACACCCGGTAATGGTTACGTAGTTCATGTTTGGCTAGGTTCACCACCTCAAAAAGTAAGTGATTTAATTTTTCTACTACTGAGCAATAGAGGATCATCTGTAGTTTATAAATATTCATATTTAAAGAATAAATCATCAACTTTAACTTTAGTTCGATCTACTCTATTAATTTTCTATTACAACAAGTAAGAAATTTTGATTAGATCAAGGAACGTTATTATGGAATACATTGGCTAATTTGAACGTAATAAACCTCCTCTATAAGCGATTTGTTAACCTTTAATATGAATAAGGAAATTTGATTAGATCATAGAGTAAAGTAGTAGCAATAAGAGTAATATGATTCTAGATTGAGTATAAAAAAACTTACTGATAATAATTAATTTCTTACCAATTTGTTTTGCAATTTTATTATTTATACACTTACAATCCAGTTTATGGCTTTTATTTCATGAGAATACTCAAATCCTTTTATTTCTACTTTATTTCAGCTAGGGGTCATTGTCGACACTGGTAGTAGTAATTTCGCTGTGGCTGCAGCTCCTAATCCTGCGATAAGACGATTTTTCCAATTCCAAAGGTAGTTCAATCTGTTATATTCAATTTCTAACTCATGCGAGTATACTGTATGGTAAGCATCCCATTCATATCTGTTAGTAAGGAATTCTATTCCTGGTTACAATTGTAAATTGCGATAAAATGACTTAGTAATTATATAGAACAATAATTTAGTGCAATAATGTCTTCCTTTCATTCTAGAAGTACGATAAAATAGCAATGATATCTATCATTATTTTATAAATTTACTTGTATGCAATTAGCTATAATCTTATTTGTATACTTAAACATGCTAATATAAGTTGAAGATTTTAAAATATGTAGAATTGTTTCATCTTAAAACGACTTTTCGTTATCGGTAAGGATGCATGATATAAGTAGTAAGATAGTAAATTCCTTCTCTACTATAATACGATGATTTTATCAATCATTTACATAATACACCCTATATTAAATCAATCATTTCATACATTTAAGCTAAAATCTTACGAATCCAGTTTACATTACCATAATTTTATATAATACAAATTATCGACATTTTAAAATTACTTTCTAAGATAAAATTATTTTAGTAACTAAATACAGTAAGGTTCTTCATTCCATCTCAACTATGGACATTAATAATTATAGCTGCCCTTCATTCATAAGAATTACTAATACATTTTAGGTTACTGTCTTATACATCTAGTTCATATTAGTGTAAGTATAAAATATCAAAAGAATTACTGAACTACCGTACATTCTAATATTAAATGACTCTAATTATCGTACGCATTGACAATTGAAATCCATCAGATTCTTCATTCTTCCCTATTACGAACAGTAATAGTATCCAACGTAGATTTATCTACAAAATAAGAACCACAAATCCATTTGTAGTATGATATTAACCGTCATTTATTTATGCCTTCCTAAGCCATATATAGTTTGACTACTATTTAATGTATTACTGTTTCAGTCACATAATATACAACATAATATACATCTAGAATGTACAGTTCAACTTAGCTATCTTTTTTAGCCAAGGATTTCACTCGATTTTAAATGTGATAAAATTGAATTTTTATATGAACTATTCTGATTATTAAATGGAATCGTGATATTATGGATTTCCTTTACATTCCTAAAATAAAGAATGCAGTAGTACAACATAAACATTACAGTTTAAAGCTATAGCACCTAAACTAATAAATTAAATACTTATTAATAACGTTAATCTTCTGATTTATGCACACAAATGAAATCCATAATAACCAATACTCATCTTGTGGCATAAAGATCGTCGACTTTTGTAAATTTACATCGAACCTTCGCGGTACGTTATGCTCGAGGTTATTGGGATGGAGAACTTGTATCTGACATCTTAAGACTAGGCGTTGGAATTAATGGATCAGCACGTGTTCAGTTTGCAGCAATTTATAGATCTGGCAGATTTTTTGTACCCTACTCCAATTGGCAAGGCATACTTGGCATGGCATATCCATCTATTGCTATGGTAGACTAAAAGTTTATTGTTATCATTTTATTACTATTATCAACAAATCTTCTGTATACATGTGCTACTATCTATTTATATTGATATCATTCGTAGCCATTTGATCTTAATCAATGCCATTTCCTGTTTTGTTAATAACTTGGTCATCTTAGCCCCCCTATCACCCAGTCGAACCAGTCTTTAACCAACTTGTTCGTGAAACTGGTATACGAGATATTTTTACTTTAACATTATGTGGACCAATCGTACAGTCTCAAAATTATCATTTACATGACGTCGACTTGGGAGGAATGATGGTAAATAAAGATATGAGTATAATTTAAATTGCTATAGCCTCTATTATAATGTTAATCCTATTTTAAGTTAAGATGGTATTTCAATAATTAGTATTTCAAATGGAGATATGTATTTTATCCTATTCTACATCGCCTGAAATACGAGATAGTCTCTTTAATGAATAAATTATTTCTTAATACCTTAAGATATAGCTTTCTCAAATAATACTAGGTTAACTACTGAGCTATCCTTCTGAATTGATGATATATTACTTTCTATATTCTGTACAAAAATAGACTTTTGGTGGAATTGATCATAGCTTATTTACTGGACCAATCTTTTACACTCCCATCATTAGGAAATGGTACTATCAAGTTGCATTAACTGGTATTGCCATTGGTGGCAGAAGTTTAGGGTTTAGCTGTGACGAGGTAAAGGTGTTAGGAATAAGAGTCACAACCCCGAGCTTAGAGTATTAAATTAATAATAATTTTGATAGAAGTAATCTCTTTCATAGACAGAATTACATTAAATGTTGAGCTAATAATTATAAATACCTAAATGATTTCATACCATAAAATATGATATTTTCTAATATCCGTACCATGTATTCTAATGTCTAAAGTTAAGATATTAAAATTACAAGGTACTTGTAATTAAATTATATCGAATCCTTTTTTGATTCTTTAAACAATTCATTAATTACCCTAGCCTATAATATGACTAATTCCGTCAGTACATAATACAGGAGGGTATAGACATAAATTCATAATCATTCCTAATTTTATTTACCTAATACTAGATCGACAGTAAAAAAACTTGATTAGTTGCATTATATCCTAACAAACATTGGTTATAGTCTAGTCTATGCAAACACAATAGTACTAATTTTTATTTTCTTAATACCATTATCGTTTCAGTACAATCAATATAAAACCATCGTGGACAGTGGTACGACTAATTTTCGAGTTCCAGAATCAATATTTAACAGGATTATTGCTTTTGCTCGTTCAATGACATCAGTAAGCCTAAAATTGCACTAATGTATATTCCTATACTGTATAGAACTTGTACGGTGGTCAACGTCGTATTAAAAATTTCTAGTATTTATTGTAATCAAGAATAAGTTGCTCAATGAAATTTAAATACTATAGGGTTATGTTATGTTAATAAATATACGTTATAGATAATCTTTACTAGATAACATAACATTTAAATAATACTAAACTAGACAAGAGAAAATCTACTAAGAAGCGCCGATGTATTTTATTTACTCCAAACATAACAGGTTCAGGTACCGAATGGATTTTGGGAAGGAAGGGAAGCTTTATGCTGGGAAGCTAATAATGCACAATGGAATGGTTTTCCCTACTTGGAGATTGCATTGGATTTATCCGATGTTAATAAGACAAATAAGCAAGAACACGGACAATTTACACTTATGATTCCTCCTCAGGTAATTACCATACTCAACCGTGCAAAAGAATTTTTGATACTACATCCCTAATTTAACTTTGCAGAAATTACTCTTAATATTTAATAGCTATTCTAAGTATAAGCAATACTAAAGTTTTGACATAAAGTCACTTAATGGCTAAGTTTAGTCATCGAAAATACGTAAATAAGCTAATTAAGTGAAATTTAAGTCTGCCTATTTTCATAGTCAAAGTTCCAACAGTAATCTTAAATTGTAGTATACAGTATAGTGGCGAAATGACATTACAATTAGTCTTAAATCAACAAGAATATTTCAATATTAACCATATCACTTTTAAATGTATAGATTTTATTCAAGTTGTGATTTACCTTACTTTAAAATAAAAAAATCCCTCTGATTAGATCATTCATGACATTAAATTGCGGGTGTACAGGAAAATATTGGTGCGCCGTATTTAAATATTAGATAATAATGTTAATAAGACAATCTATCCATCTTTTGTACTAACGATATAATAGAAATTTCACTAATTCATGTTGAAATATGATAGCAAGTGGGTGTTTATGTCAATAATTTCACGATATCATATTCTTGATACGATTTACAGCAATATTTACGATTAGCTGAACATGTTACCGTTCATAATAGTCCATGCTATGGTTTCGGAGTTGAACGATCTCAAGGTTCCGGTAAGTTCTTAATTTCTAATTTAAATGAGTTAAAGTATTAAAGAATCTCAATAAGCTCTACACATAATATCGCAAGGAAAGGGTATATTAACATTTTGCTATCCTAAAATCAATAGGTATCATTCTTGGTGATGTAATTATGGAAGGCTTTACTGTTATGTTTGATCGGGAAAATACTCGTGTCGGTTTTGCAGCTTCTAAATGTGCTAGTAAGTTATTTTTATAATCAAAGATAGAGGAATCATATATCGATAATTATTCATCAATAGATGATGATAATGGTAATTTTTTTTATTCTCTGTTGCTTATTGCCATATTTTGTGTTGCAAATGAATATATGCACAGTACAAAATTATCAGGTTAAACCCGTCGTTCTTGGACCACAAATAAGAGGTAACAACCCTTTAAATTTATAAAGTAACATTAACTTTATGATTTTATTCTTACGATCTACTCACGACATCTTGTAAGAAATAGATTAATTATCGATAACTAAGTTAAATAAAGTAACATATATATATACGATCTTGGTATTTTAGTCCAGGAATCGATAATAGTGCTATCCATGCAGACTAATGGCGACAATACTGCATAAATTTTTCAAGTTATTAGTAACTATTTCATAATGTTGCTAATTTCTTTCAATCTGTTTTAAATATTTATCGTCTTATCATGGTATAAGTGCAAGAATTTATTACTATATCTGTTCGCTCACTAGTATCATACTTCACAAGTGGTTGCTATACTGATATATTTATCAACACGGCGTTACTTATAACTTTTGATTACTCGATACGAGTGCATACAGCACGCTGCATCTGCTTTATACTATATAGGGAATTAAAGTTAACTTACTGTATCTATTAGAAATGTTAGATGGATACAAGTAAGATTCTAAAAGGCTTTATTGCACGATTGTTATTAATATGAATCTCAATAGTTGATATTGATGAAGAGATAATTATCAAAAATCTTAATCAAATACAATCTTGGATATATTTAAGCCATTAAATCACCCAAGGCAGTTAATAATCTCAAGTGTCTTTCATATATTTTATAACTTCGATGATTTTATAGGTAACAATTCCTGCGATGTAACTGGAACGTCCAATGTCAGTCCAGTGGCTATCGTTATAGGTAGTGTGGGTGCCGCTATATTTGTAATTGGCTTCTTTATGGTGATGGTTGTCCATCTTAAGGTTCAATCTGGAAGGAATGATATGCCCTATGCCGATCCACAAGAAGTTCAGGAATCGAAACAACTACAACCAAATTCATCATCGGCTTACTATGATCGTCCACCTCCTAATCCTGCAGGTAGCGCTTACAGCAACAGTGAAGCTGCTGGATCCTATCCATATCGATATCAAGCCCCACCAGGAAATCCTCCTGAATATGCTGAAACCGAATAATTACAATATTCTTCAAGATATCTATAGCCTTAGATTGTCGGTCAAGTAATGTAAAATGATAGTCTTACTTATATGTATCGAGAGAATAATTCGAACGTGTATTCATCAACGGTGAAAGGGAGAAAGAAAATGGTTATTACATTAGCTCATTCTTTGAGCAAGATATATCAATTATGATTTAATCTTAATGGCTTCGATAAAAAATTATATATTTCGCTCTTAGCAAATAGAAATTAAAGGTTAGTCTTTATACATTACATAAATATTCCATCCAAGCCAACAAATATTGCTATAAGCTAACAAATCTTTATTATATTATAAATGATTTGGTAAGATAGAGCTGCTGATTACTATATAGTAATTCGTATCTATTTGCGACATATCATCAGTGAGTTCTGCTTTGATGATAAATAATTTTAATATCCCTCTGATGCTTCATATCAGTAACATATAAATGTTTCCAAAATTCCGGCCCGTAACAGCAGAGGTTTCAATTATCTATAGTTTAGTTTGCTGATAGTAAATAATATATACATATATACATTAATTTAGTATTTGTGATTGATTTAATTTTCTTTTATATCAGCTTTATCAAAGTGGAATGCGTAAATGACTATGATTAAATACTCATACTTAAATTGTGTTTAAAGATTCCAAACTTATAACGTAAATTTTATGATCTCTCTATATATCTATAATGCTCAGCTATAATAAAATACAATACCTATGATTTCAAAATATTTGTATGTCAAGATTTTAAATTTATGTGCCTATCTAGATCTCTACCTAAATTTGGGGCTATGCAATACTTATATATGCATGTACAGTTACAAATGTAAACAGGTGCTCTGATCTATATTTAAATACATGTATGTGTGTGCAAATTTTATATTACGCATCCTACATCTCTAGTACTACAAATATATAGTAGCGCGATATTTCTGGCGTGTAAAAAATTGTGATAAATAATAGCAATTGCTATTTAATGAATATTCCTCTATATTGTACAGCGCTCTACAGTAGTTGCGCATGATTGATATAGTAGCTATTATAAATTCCACTTTTCTACTTTTAGATATCATAACAACTATAGTAATTCTATCTATCACGGGGTTGTATCGATACATTTTGGAGTGTTTGTCTTGCATATGGGCATGTCAAATAGTCAATATTGCCAATTTCGTTTGGACTTTCGTGCGGTACAGTATAGCAGAGGCCACAATTGCGTTCTACAGGCTGGTAGGTTTTAATTTTATTAGTTATCATCATTAATGCTTCATACTACCAATCTCACCTATAATTATTGCACAATACATCAGACTTAGCCATCATATTCATGATGCAATAGTACCTCCGTATTTTAGCCTTTAGTCATTAATATATCAGATGATTTGGGTCACTCAATCACCTGTGATAGAAAATTGACCGTATCAATCACGTCGTAATTCATTAATGCCTCTGCCCTTCAATATTACTCATAAGCATGACAGCATTAGATAGTTACCGTTGTTAAGTAATTTATAATTTCTATTACAAGACGGCAAGACAATTACCGCTATAATATCTACGAATCTAACGAGATGTAACAAATTTGAGAATATTTTTATCAATAGGTAATCAGATAACTTTCTTAACTATCTAATCATAAGACAGACTGTATTACGATATCGCAACAATAATATTTAGATAGTACAATTACGGAATGACTTTTGTATGGTATTCGCGATATAATCTTTATAGATAGATAGATAAACTTTAAATAAGCAATCTTATCTATGATATTATACACATCTGTGTAGACAGCGGGTAGCCTTTCATAATGTTATCGAAGTAACATTATCTAATATTTACCCTTCTAAATCAGGAATTAGTAAGCAATTTAATAAAGTTTGGGCTTCACAATTTAGCCTGAAGAGAGGCACGTGCTGACCGTGACCTACTGTCGATGAAAAAGTATCTATATTTCGTATCAGACGGCAAATAAGATGTGATTAGCACTATGGGCGCGAAATACGGTATCATGAGCAGGGTCTGGTATACTACTGTAGCTCATACAATATTTGAACGGTAGAGCATATCCTAACCATATTTCATAACTTTTGCCATCCTCCAAGGAATCATTGGAATATTTAATTGCATTGTCTAAAAATCAATTTATATTTAAATTTTCAGTAAATACAAACCTTATGGTTTACGAATTCTTATAATATAATGATAGCAATCTTTATGACGTAGCGTTTTGTCTTAAAGTGAAGTAATATGAAATTTTCATCGTATTAAAATCATTAATAAGATTAATTTAAAGAATTAATCTAGGCCGTTTAGAAATCGAGTTAACGATCAATTTTATCGTAATCTTATTATTTCAAACTGTTTCCGTTGTATCTTAATAGAATGAAATAGATCGGTAATAAAATTAACCTTTTCCCTACTAAGACTGGTACCCTCCTAATCTATCGTTACAAAGTATTATCTGATTGAAGCACTCACTAATCCTTAGGTGATTTTGACGGTTATGCACTTGTGACCCTTTCATTTATCTATTTTAATTGAACAGCCATTACAAATAACGGTTTCTTAATTTAGGTAATTGGTATGCAGTTCACCAGGTGATTATTGTTGGATCGTTATATATCCATCCATTGAGACTGGATACGATAAAAATGAGCAAACTATTGTGATTAGGTGGTATCCATCCATACAATAAGGAAAAAACTATACCACAGTTATTCATATCGATTTTTATTACAAGAGAAATTTTCCATTTACGGTACGGTAAATCTTTGATTTATACTGGTTCATCATTCATTAAATCAAATATTTAACAGTTCGTAAAACGGTTTAGAAGTTACCAAAATATACCCCTTCCAATAGCTTGCCTTTGTCACTAGCCTTGATAGAGTAATCATATTTTTTTGCACATTTTTAATCAATCTGTAGTAAACGTAAATCGTTCAGTGATGTAGCAGTACAACCTACTATAATTCTACAATCTACTGTAATTCTAAAATTCTGAACTTTTCTAGAAAATGAATATTGTTTGGCGATTTATTCTCAATATCTTGGCTTTTATGATGGTAGCTGGTGATATACCTTTCGATAAGATTGATAAATCCGTCAAGATTCATAAGTACTCGTTGTATCGGGTGCACAAATGGAAAGAAAATAACTTTCAAAATGCCCCATCCGAACTTTCTACCCGAATAGACAGAATGCGCGGCTTTCCAGACATTGGTTATGCTATCCATATTACTGTTGGCACTCCAGGACAACAAGTAAAGTCCAATTAGATCTTCTGATAGAGAAAGAAGAAACAAACTTTTAATTTCTGCCTTTCGACTTTATCTTCTATTCTGTGAAAGTTTTATTTTTCTATTAAATCTTGTATAAATTTTAGTATACTGTAAAGTAGTCTTTCTACTTGATGAAAATTATTTTTTCAAATTACTGAATTAGAGTAAAAATATTAACCAGCCTATAACCTTTAGTTATAATCCTCGCTCATATTTTCTAATTCATTAAAATTTAATTCGTAGTTTAACTTCAATCCATTTTAGCTTTAAACTTCTTTTTACCTAGAAACAAAACTGTCTTTTACCTCCATTAAAATATCAACCAACTAAAATTCTTATCCTTACTCTTATTTCTTTATTTCTTTAAAGTTTTATCGATTTTATATTAAATAAGGATTATTTTTTACGTGGCTTGAACCCGATTAAATCATCCATTACTTTTGCATCAATATAGTTTAACGCCCTTGTCGATACAGGTAGTAGCAATTTCGCCATAGCAGCATCTCCTAATGCTGGTGTTCCTTCCTACTATCATTCTCGCAGGTATTGCTATGACTTTAATAGGCTAATATCATCCAATACTCTTTTGTATCAATAAATTAATAGGATCGATAATATTTTTCATCTATTCTAGATCGTCAACATTTCAAAATAGATCTCAGCAAGTTACAGTCCAGTATGGAAAAGGAACTTGGACTGGTGACCTCATGTCTGATATTGTCCATCTAGACGTTGGATTTAATCGTGCTATACGACAAGATTTTTCAGGTATTATTTATTCCTATCAATTTTTTCCATCAAGTGATGTATGGCAAAGCATTATTGGTATGGGTTATTCATCAATTGAAATGGTAAATGCAATAATATTTTTCTTTATTAATATCTAACGTAATATTCAGTAATGGTAACATCATACAGTCCGCTCGTTCTTCGATGCTAGCTCTCTTGCTACTATAAGTATATTACCGCCGCATCATCATTTTACGCATGAATTTATAACAAACTATGATAGATAGTCTCAAATGATCCACTATAAGAGAATCGATGGAGATGAACGTCCTATTTAATCTTTAGCTCTATCAATAGATAGCGTAAAAATGAGTAAAAAAAGTGAATATGTTGAAGTCGTATATCATGAGAATTTTTATACGTAAGTTTTCTCCAGAAAATATCTAATCAAAGTTTATTCTTATAGCCAATAGGGACTCCGACTAAAACCTTCTTTGATCAATTAGTCGATAAAACTGGAATTGCCAATATCTTTTCCTTGACATTATATGGTCCAGTTCTAAGCAAAGGGTTATCTTGGACTTCAAAGGATAGTAACTATGGCGGTGAAATGGTATCCACGATTGCTTGATTATAAATTCTATCGTTTTGAAACCTGAATCGTTGGGATCAGCGGTTTTTAAAACACTGATCCATTCTAATCTTGTACTCTTTTAGACTTTTGGTGGCATTGATCGTACACTGTTTTTAGGTCATGTTTACTACACACCAGTTATCAAGAAATGGTATTATGAAGTCAAGCTATTAAATATATCTGTGGATGGAAAACCAATAACAATGTGTTGTCATGGGGTAATTTTGCTTTAAAATCCAACTAATGATATAGTAGAAACGGCCATTGAAGTTTATTGTGTAATATGACATTTAAAAAACTGGTTTTGCCTACACATCCAGAAAATTAAATATCTTCCCCATTTCGTTAAGAATTTCTATCGTTCTTCAGTAAATATAATTACACTAAATCAATATTGTCAGCTAATACTGTATGAAGGGAAATACTTTTACATTATTCTCGAGGAAATTGGATACATCTTATTTGGATGTATCCTATTTTTTCTGTCAGTAACTGTAATTGTAGTAATCTTAATTTGTGAAGTGTAAAAGAAACAGTTGTACAATACATTATCGTCGAGGAAATTAGGTATATTTTGTTTGAAGATATGGTTCCTTGATTTGTCAAGAAATTTTTTTACCAGTAAATATAGTTGTAGCAAGTCCATTTATGTAACAGTGATAGACAGAGAAAATAGTTGTGTATTTATCCTTATTTGGATTATCCTACTTACTTTAATAAGATACTCTACAATCACCAGTAAAAATAATCTGTGGTAAGTCCAACTTGATCTCTATTTCTTCCTTAATTGCTGTTCTTTCTCAATCCTAGTATGAAAAATATGTCACCTTTGTCGATAGTGGAACTACTGAGATTGTCGTTCCACCTGCTGTTTTCCGGACCATAGTTCACAGTCTTCAGAAATTCGTAAGTTACAGTGAAGTATTTCTGATCAAACTTCTAATCTAAGCTTAAGAAATTGATATGCATGTGAATAAACCGAGTATAACGCCATTAAATATTACTTTATCAAAGAAATGAGAACATCATCGCCGTTTTAATCCATAATGAAATCTCCATTTTCTTTTCATTGGTTAGATTCAAGCACCAAAACTATTCTGGGAAGGAAGAGAAGTAATATGTCCAGCTGGATTAGGAATTGCTTGGTCATCACTACCTATTATAGAATTTACTTTACCCTTAGCTGGAGTAGATGGAGTGTTGGCTTACGAGTCTAGCCGTTTTAATTTAGCTATTTCCCCTCAGGTAAAATTGAATATCGTTAACGCATCAAAAAGTTAGATGATTGTGCTAGACGAATACATGTATAACTTTGCAAATGATTAAAGATAGAAATCACAAATTAAGGCTGATATCACTAAGTTACCGAATGATTTCCATATTTTTGCATAGCAATACATACGTCTGTCGGAGACAGTTCGCAACTTGGGCTTTCCATGTTATACTTTTTCTATTTCCCCTTCCTCTAATGGTAAGACAAAATGATATTGCCTTGATACATTAAGATATCTACATTACATTAATTCTTGGCTTAACTTTCTAGATGCCCCGGTTATAATATTGGGCGATGCACTTATGGAAGGTTATACCGTCGTTTTTGATAGAATAAATAATCAAGTTGGTTTTGCAGTATCTCGTTTTGCAGGTCTGTTAGCTAGTAGCGTATAGACTAATTTGTAAAGAAATTGATTTTACGCAAACCTCATTCTCTTTTCATTTACCTGCTCTATAAGAAGATTTTATTTAAACTTTCTTGCATTCCGAGGATAGATATCTGATGTTATACCGTGTATAGAGTAAGCGAATGGTTTTAATCTGTTAAATTTAACGAAATTTTTATATCATTTCTAGCTAAGAATTTAACAGTCAGTCCAGGGATTAATAGGCTAGAAAGGGTTAAAAGTATGTCATACAGTTAAAACCCCTTACAGAAGTAGTATTTATTTACTACTATATTATTTTCTAGCTTAATAATGAAGCTATAATTCTTTCCTATATATTAAAATTACTATTGCTTTCTAATTCATATATTTTAATTTACCTTTTTCGTCCAATCCATAACGATAAATACGTATTAGATGGTAGCCTTAATATTCAAAATATTTCCTCATCGTCGGAAGATAGCGTGGCTATTGTATCTGTGGTTTTGGCCAGCATTAGTTTATTTATGACTTGTATTAGTATTGGCGTCATGACTTGCATCTACTTTAATCATCATCGAAATAAAAGCAGTAATGACTACCCCTATCGTCAAGTAAGTTCTCCTCACCATCCACCAGCCTACTCTAACGCAGAAGAGCAATATGGTAGCCGTGATAATTCACTTGCTGATAATGGTCCTACAGAATCAGATTAGATTTTAATCATGAACTCAAGAAGGGCTGGAATAATTCTACAATGATTTTTGCGGTCAATTCTATTGTCCTCAGATTTAATATCGAATTAAAGCTTTATTGATGGGTTCTATTTTTCGTGAAAAAGATGATTTTATTGTAGTTATTTGATAGAGATTTAAAGTTCTTTTATCAATTTAATCCACTTAAATTATGTGTAAATACCGTTAGTCATGGCCTTGCGTAACTGTAATTGACCCTTTATTGCTACAATTTTGCATTAATGAAATGCGTTTAAATTCATCCAGTTGGAGAGTCTAGATGTATTTGTAAGGTAATGTTAATAGAGTAGAGAGTGTGTGTAATAAAAGTGTCTCACAATAACTATCTTAGTCAAATGGTATTTTAAAAAGGCTTTTATTATAAGATTTTAGGAATAGTAGAGCAATAATTAATTACTACAAGAATCTAGTTCATAATCTAAAGCATTCCGGGCTCAAAGCGAAGTGGAAGTCTCTTCTCCCTCGTAAGCTCATCTCTACAGTTCTTATATACGAGTACGTTTAGTTAAATCCATTTATGACGACTTGATTAATCTACAATCAGATCTGAGTCATCAAACAAAATACTTTTCTCAAATAGTGCATCATTATTTTCTAGAATCTAAATCATTCTACTTAAGATATCACTACTCTTCTATTAACATCTGGCCCCTTTCTTCGAAGGGCATCTTAACAACTACAGTGTTTCTATCCACACAAATCTTGTACCATAATTAGTCGACTGGCTAATATTAGTCATCAGATACTTCTAATATAGTAGTTAGCAATCATCCAATATTGGCTTCACGATAATATCTATTTAGAGTAACCTAACTATATCAAATATAGCTATTAACACAATCAAATATAGCTATCCTTATAATCAAATATGGTTACATCACTACATTGTGTGCTAAACTAGCATAAGATTCATGGCTAGCCACATATAAAAGCGATAAAGAAATATTAATCAGTATTTTGACATCATATTAATCTTATATGAATTTTTAGAAGGACTTTTAGATCATTGTAAAGCTTGATAGAAGAGAAATACAAGACTCGAATATATTTCTATCGTTTATAGAGATTTACAAAGATAAAAATTTAACGGTAATGTTAAATAAAGAAGGCCGTAAATCACTTCTAAACTATTAAGAAATAACGTAAAATGAATTAGCGTCTCTTAATGTCATCTCAAGATCATAGAAGATTTTGAGTCATAGTAGCTGGATCAATATTTCCCAATATCGAACTTGTGGTATACGCGTATGTAACTTGTGGAAACTTAAATTCCACTTGCTAGATACAATATCTCTAGAATAGATGTTGGTCTATATTTTCGATCTATGCATCCTTCTACGTCTCCAATGCTGCAGTTATGTAGTAGTAAGATATTTTTTCCCATATAGAATGATAATAAATGAAGGATAGCTATTGCAATTTAATGAATTTTACTCTATATTACCCAACTCTCTACATTTTAGCCATCTATTGTTGATGTAGTAGCTATTATGAGCATCATAACCTTGACAGCTCTATTTATCACTCGTTATTCTGATGTATTAGTTAAGAATTTACCGTACACAGGGGTATGTGAATAACTGCTACTGCTAATTTAATTTGGACTTTTATACGGTATAGCAGAAGCAACGATCGTGATACGACATCATTTAACATACATACGTATATCTTTCATAGCATGCATTACGAGCTTATTAAATTCTTTTAGTAATCATACTGGACCGATCAAGAATTCTAAAACATTTTAGGAACATGTATACATAGGAATTGAGGTAATGTGATAAAAAGAAGACATCATCATGAATTTATAAGAAAAATTTTTTAGAAAGGTCTTAGAAACAATACGAAATCGATCTATATTTCTCAATATTATAGCGGTTTGTAGCATAGAAATTTGGGAAGCCTTTAAGCTCTACATACCAGATATGTGATTTTTAAAATACACCATAGATAATATAGTTAAAGCAAATAAATTAGAGGAAACCTTTAAGTTCTGCTCATCAGATAACGTACAAGATCTATAGAATATACTATCGAAATTATAGCTACTATATTTATACGTTAGATTAAATGAAATTTTCATAGCTTTCAACCATCTGGGCTAATTAATTTAATTTGTAATGATACTGATAAATGGAGTAAACAACAAAAAATCACAAATTCCATTAAAATGATGAAAATGAATGAAAATGATGACCATGGGAGCTCTCTAATGTTCTGTTTCATAAATGTAATATAATTACCTTTCTGATAATACTAATTAATAACGTAATATAGTAGAGAGACGTAAAGAAAAGTTTTATTTAAAAAGCTTTCGTCCAGAACATAGCCCATCGCTTCTTCCTAAGTTTATTTGTTCAGCTAGTGTCTATTTTCAACGTGCTATAACCTCGATTAAGCACTGACTAGATCAATAAAAAGATTCATGAATTAGCAATATTCAAAATTATAAGTTATGAATAAAACAATGTTTGCCTTCATACTGAATATCTTGTATTCCATAATATGTATTTCAACATTATCCTTAGCCAGTGGGAATGGAATATATGATGGATCTCTTACCAATATTCCTATCGAGCATCATCGGTTAGAAAATGATCGGATTTACCTTGATAGAGTCAGAGGATCAGGGCAAGCTGGTTATTCCATGTTGATATGGTTAGGAACACCACCTCAAAAGGTAATCAAATATTGAAAAGTTATAAAGACCGTATATCTATATTACTGGAGAAATATTAAGATAAGAAACTAGTGCACTAATAGAGACATTATCTATTTTAGTCTGATAGATGAAATTATAGCAGGATAGCAGAGTACAGTGATTGATAATACGACTTGATTATTAGATCGGTATAGTAATTTCACTAGCTATAGCATTAAAATGCTACTATTTTCGCTTGGTTATCCTGTTAATGTTGGCTAGAGGCTTGTTTATACAATCCAGAAATCTAAAGGATCGTCTGGAGATTACAAAGTCCGAATATTTTCTAGTATTCTATGAATGCATCATTCTTAATAGACGACACGATTTTATATACAGCTAAGATATATTTATAAATGAATAAAAATCAAAATTTCCAATGCAATAACCGGATCATATCATAAAGTTACAATATGATGTGATATATTAATGTTACTTAATTTTATTATCTCCGTTATATTATAAAAAACTGTCAACTTATTTCATGATCATAGATCTATTTATACATCATAAGTAAGGGATAATATTTATGCCAATATAGCTACGGGTTATCTTGGACACTGGAAGTAGTTTCTGTGGAATTATGGCTGCACCTAGCCCTGTTGTTAAGCATTACTTTCATATGAATAGGTATAAACAGGAAAAGAAAATTAATTGATTTACCATAGAGAGTAATGTTAGCACAACATTTTCCACTTTCTTAGATCATCAACTCTAGAAGAAACCAATTTACGAATCGATTCCAGCTATGTTAAAGGCTACTGGAGTGGTCAATTGGTTAGCGATATGCTCCATTTAGGGATTGGCTTACATAAACAAGTACGAATCCAATTTGCAGCAATTACAAATCAAAAAGAGTTCTTTACCGAAACGACAAGATTTGACGGAATATTAGGCTTAGCCTATCCATCCTTAGCAGTGGTAAGTACTTTTATTCTGCTATAGATTGAAAATTTTACTGACTATCAATAAACCTATATCTTCTATAAAACTGGAAAGAGACAATCACCTTTCATATAAATGATTAGAATAAAATATTTAACTTAGCTCATCTACAATATCTTGAATAGTAGCAATAACTTATCCTGCTTGATATTAAAATTAAGCCTACTCCAATACTAATTCCTAACTATCCTGATTAAAACTTGAAAGTAACAAATCTATATGGTAATAGATTTAAAGTTAAATAGTTTACACTTGGATTAATCTTATTTTCAATCATCAGCAGTTAGTCTAACACTATTTTAAAAATTATCATAAGTTAACATTAGAATTAATTAAGCTTGCCTCAGCAGTAGTAAGTTAGTAAATTTCAATAATTTAAGGACAAGAGTACTGTCAAGGGAGTTAACGATATTACTCTGAGGGCACTATCTTTTGATGATTTCATGATGGCATCAGCAAGGAAATTTCTATCAAAAACCAGTCTTTAATGAAATTGTTCAACAAGCTGGTATTCGTGATATATTTACTTTAACCTATTGTGCTAGCAAGATGAGAAAGGATCTATTCGGCAATCAATATATCACTGGTGGTGGATTTATGGTTAGTGATGAGCTTCATTTTATCGATCAATATTGTTATATTGAAAGGTGATGCCAAATGACATGGCGTAATGATTATCGTACATTGTATTATATAACTTTGTGTATGAAAATTCCTTAATTTGAATTATTGCTTTGAAAAATTTGTTGCCAACACAACGTTTTCCGTGCACTAAAATGCATTTTGAAATAAGCTTCTTTTTAAAGTATATAACATTAGTAGAAATTTTAAAATTTGACTCTTAGGATGTGAAGATCATTACTTTTTTAAATGTAAAAGATATTTAGCAACTTTATACATACATCCGGTATCGTGATATCTCGTATGCTAAATCAGGCATTTCAATCAAATTTTCTTCTAGCAGCTTTAGATAGAATATAGATTTTAATAGGATTTCTTAATAAATGATGTTCTAGACTTTAGGCGGAATCGATAATAATTTACTTGCTGGACCTGTCTTTTATACACCTATCGTGGAAAAGTATTATTACCAGTTTCAATTAACAAATGTATTAGTTGATGGGCAATCCATTGGATTTTCACCATATGATGTAAGTGAACATCAGGATATGCTTTATGCGCAGAGATGTATATCACCTAAGTTGGGTATTTTACCCGGCAATTTGTAATAAGTCGATACTAGTTTCCTGTTTGCTGTGAATGTAAGATACTACTTATTTTTGTGCCTTTCTTATTTTTGCCATACTATTTTATCTTCAAGGTATCATACTTGTGCCAAAATACGAAATAAATTGTTATTAATAATTAAAATTAGCGATATAAGATACGAACAGATATCAAATATTTATGATGTATTTTAGTAAAAAATCGTTTCAGTTCTATACCGTACGGTTTTCCTTACTTACCGTATAGTCTAATGTTTATATCAATCGATCCTTGCAAAAGGAGAAACTACTATAATTTAACATGTTTTATGCCATACCTTTAATTACTTGCTAAAATATAAGTTACTTTACACACGTATTGACATTAGTACATGCATTATCCTGCCTTGGTCGATAGTGGAACATCTATACTCCGCTTTCCTCCTTTTATGTATAAACGATTAATGCCAATCTTTCTTCGTTCCATTCAGGTATTTATGATATTGCGTTTACTTATGTCTTACAGTATTTGATTCGTTAAGTTCATTGATCTGCGAGAACCACGACGATGTCGTTCCAATAATTAAATTCTTATTAGGATCGATCGGTTTTCTCGCATGGTTTTTTCTATCGGGGTCATGCAGTATGTATGGAAGAATCGCAATTGTTACAACATCGTTTTCCAACTATTCGCCTATCTATACGATTGGCATCCTTCGAGAAAACTAATTTCAAGACACCACGACAATTTACATTAGTTCTTTCGCCTATGGTAAGGGGATATTACAACAGATTAATTATGAGATGATTGCATAGATGTTGCTTAGTTACTGTGTACTCTGCAGCAATACCTGGAAAACTTGTATGATAGCCTACTGTAAACGTATATTGTCGTCCGTAATATAATCAGTTTTAGCAGGTGTTACTGCTAGAGATAATCTTTACATACGAGTAATCATAAATATGGCTAAAAGTGTGATATGTTACGTATCGGTATGTTAAATCATAATTGAGTTTTAATACTAATACTACATATTAGCATACTTTTTTCATAGCATTGTATTACTAAAATGTGATGACATTTCGTATCATAGTCATGATTCATGCCTAAGCAATTCGTAAAATGCTTATGCAAATTGCTGGAAACAGTCAACAGCCATACTATTGCCAAAATTAAAATAATCCCTTATAGCGCACAGTATGTAATGACGTTATAGTTTTTATTAATGCTATTTTATGCACTCGTACGGCTATCTTACAGTAGCTGTAGTATTCATAAAAATAGGATAAATCCTTATACTTGGAAATTAGCTATCAATAGTGATGATATTTTTCGTTTCCATATGACAGTAATGAATCCTATGGTAGTCATAGTAAGAATAAGATCAATCCTTATACTGTACTTGGTGATAATCAACAATTATTAGTAATACTTTTCGTGTGTTATTTGATATAATTAGTGAAAGTAGAATAGCTTCGGTCCCATTATTCAATTGTGAGCAATCGTTTTACAGCTTTGATTAATTAGAGATAAATTTATCACAAAGACCAATCGCTGGAAATTAATGTAGCAATTCATTCTACTTGTATGTATTAGTAACTGGAACATTTATTTTAAATAGCAATATTTCATCTTATCTGGAAAAGAACGCCATGGAAAACCGTGCTATCATTTTGGCATAGCAGGGACTTCTGGTGCATTTGGTAATACCTATCATGAAATATATCTGATTACACAGAGATTAGCTTAGAATTGCTTACAGCTTTGCTGTATTTCTCAATTGATGCCAGTCAAATTATCTCGCAATACTGTAGGTATCATCTTGGGAGATGTTGTTATGAAAGGATTCTCTGTCACATTTGATCGAGTTAATTCAATGCTAGGATTTGCAGTCTCAAAATGCGCAGGTAGTTTAGAACTTTGGAGATTAATATTATGATTCGATCTTGCCATGAGCTTGCCAAAGCAAACCAGATTTGATATTAGGCGGTAGAATTATAAATAATCTATTACAGATTTAAATGATCTATATTGATAATGTAAGCAATTTTTTCATCTATTGCATTCAAGAACAATCCTACACCGTAAAGCCAGCTATTGATGGACCTCAAAGTATTTATTCCAAGGATAGAATTTATCGCATCAATGCATAATCATTTTACGTCACTTAGGGCTTTAAATGAGTTACCAAAACTCAAATATTGCCCCAATGGGGACGTAATTTGGCCCTACTCGGGCTATCTTCACGATGTCTCACATAGCTGACCTTCATATGGATATACATCTGATAAATTTAATTAAATTAGTAATGAAGTTCAAGGTAGAGAATCAAAGTGATGTTAGGTATTACATCTGTGTAATTTTAATCTTAGTAATATTTAAGTATGTATGCTGCTACTTTCCCTAGTATAATCTTATAATACTATGAATAAATTGAAATATACCTAAATTATTTAAAGGAAATGATATTTTGATCATATCGAATGTTCACTGGTGATCCTTGTGGCAGCTTAATAAGATATGAGAGTTTATAACTATGGTTAATGAAATGCAGGTCTTAAATTGCAAACCGCATATAGCAAGCAGTTTTAATTTCTCTAATTTACATTCAGAATAAAATTACAATTCTCTACTGTAAAATGAGATAATATCACAGTTAGGGCAACTACATACAAAACTGTTATGGTCAATCCCAAGGTTGAACAATTCCCGAAATGATATTCAAATCTCGCAAATTTCTTCCATTTTATTGATATCATATATTGGAAAAAAGCGAATTGAACGATAGAAGTTTAATTTTTAAGAGTAACTACGTCAAAATAATATTCAAGATATTAGCTATAATGTCTGGTATAATCCTATAATGGTCTCAATATGTAGTTTGATTAACAAGAAGTGTTACTGGAGCTACAAAACATTTTTAGGATAGCAGCGATTGATGAATTTCATTCATTTTGTAACGACTCGAAACCTCAATTTTAAACAGCGTAATACAGATCTTGAAGATGAAAGTTATATCATTTGTAGTAGCATTTTCCACTGTATAGGATGATGTCGATAAGGGTATATCATTTCGTTAGATTTTAAACATTGAGTTATAGTCCAATTTGGTATTTATCCACATACGCGTATGCGCTTGACCTGACAACCTTGTCAAAATATTATTTTGCAAAGTTACTGAAATCCGATATAAATCTCTATACTTTTGTGTTTGTTTGACTCTAAAAGTAACCAATATTGAATCATTAACGGTACTTATAGACGTTTAAATGCTCCTCATTTGAATAAAATGTTGTATGTTTTGACGTAAAAACCGATGGTAAATTACTATCGCGGGCCTCTACAGTGCTGTGTAATACCGAAAGCTGATTTTGGAATATTTTTCGAGTATCATATTTTTCTTTGAAGTAGAATACTTCTTGCTTCTTTACTCTTTATATAAAGCGGTATCTATTAAAATAAATAGACTTCATTCTGATTTTCAGAGTTTTAAAGTGTAAATTATATTGGCAATTAAGCAAGATAATCCCCGAGGGATTCGATGGGATCTACAGCGGTACACTTTGTGAACTGCATCATACTGTACTGCACTGTACTGTACGTATTGTACAGTGTACAGTATATCTCTGTAATGTACCGCATACCGCAGGTCATTCATCCAGGCCTGACCGGTGGCCAACAACTGAATCTACGTAGCATGTCTTTTAGACATGGCGGCTTAAAGTCGTAAAAAAACAACGCTGCTTCTAGTCATGACTGACGAAAAACTACTGAAAATCTGCTTCAAATGTAAGTACTATGATAGTTTTGAAATAGTAGTTGCCTTCTAGGATATTTTATCCGGTTAGAAACAGCTTATTCTGCCTATATAATAGCGAAATACGGTGGTCGACATTGAAATTCACTGACAGGATTCTGTCAAAGGACCCAAAGTTCGCCATCGTTTCAAGTGAAAAATCCAACCGTTAGCTAGTTCAGTTCTATCCTTAGTTGCTGCCATTTTACTATACTATCATAGAGTAATTTGCTATGGATAACGGAACAACAATTCTGTCAAAGGACCCAAAGTTCGCCATCGTTTCAAGTGAAAAATCCAATCGTTAGCTAGCTCAGTTCTATCCTTAGTTGCTGTCGTTTTACTATACTATCATAGAGTAATTTGCTATGGATAACGGAACAACAATATCGTTTTACAGTAGAATATACTGGCATAAAATAGGGAAACAAAGTACTGCTTTCTGACTAGTTAAATTGTTTAACTTGTTTCTACTATTTAAAATAGATTACGCCAGCTATTATCAAGTTGATGATGAGTGTCAAGCTGACTATATAGTACACTTCTATACAGTACACTCTCCATGCAACTCCTGTTTCAGTCGGTATATTAACTCGTGCTTAGAAGTAATACCAGAGTATGAATGAGCTAAAATTAAAGTGGACTAAGAAAATACTGACTGAATTTTACAACGAGAACGATGTTTTCATTGCAATTTAAAATTACAGGATAGTCATATCAACTGGATTTAAAACTGCGTTACTCAAACATATGAATTAAAATTGTTTAGCTTGCTTTAGTGAAATGGACTACGACCGCCTAGAATCAAGTTGATTTATACTGAGTACCAAGCTTACGATACAACTCTTGTTTCAGTCGGCATACCCCAAGGACAGATGACTAGGAAAAGAGTAACATCCTTTTCAATAAAAACGATGTTATCATGGCAATTTATACTGTACTGTACATCACAGTACTAGATTGAAAAACTGCATCAATCAACCATATCAATCAATCAATCATAATACTTTAAAACAGATCAAGTGACCATCTATCTTGTGCCATATGTTGAAGATATTTGACGTAATATAGCGCACGTAAATCTTACAGTAATCACAATATGCTCGTATTGAAATACGTTACTATTGTCATGGAATCGTTGGATGGATGACATCATGACCGAATTATTTCCATTATCCAATCGCCATCTCAATTTTAAATACAGTAGCCATTAGATGATAACTACAGCAGTTTATTACTTCAAAAAAAATTAACGACTATCACGTTAACATTGATTGACCTTGACCATCATAAATGGATCAAACAAATATTGTCAACTACTGTTACTGTAAACTGTACGCAGTATCCTTCGCATTTTCTGTGCGTGTTATACAGATAACATTAGATTTATTTTTTGACGTCTATGGTTAGAATTTAACGTACCACCTGTACTATTGAATCGATTATGTCTACGGTAAATTATTCGACGTATATGCATAACCCATGATTGATTGGCTATTACAAAATCTGCACGTTAATGTGTTTACTGTTAAGAGCCATCTTTATTATTGCGAATGTTATAATTATTTAAGTCACATCTGAATTTTACAGGTCCATATTATGTTAATAAATTTAGAATTAATACTGTAGTATTCATTTTTAGCATTCAACAAACAGTTTAGTTCTAATATTTGATATTCTACGCTAAAAAGAAGAATTACGACGGTAAATGATTATTCACGATCGTTCCTGTATGCCATCATACAGTATGATTGAACAGAATTACACGTCATTATTTTTCATTATAATTAGCATTGTTACTCCATCTTATTCCACTCTGTCGTATGTTGAATAAATTTTCATAGCGATCGGTATTAATTGATCATTCTCCAATTAATTGTGAACTTTTCTCTTCTCTTCCCATCTAATTTAATGTTGTCGCCCGATTGCAGGAATAACAAATTTTTGAAAGGTGAAATTTGGCTTGGTTTCTCTGGTATTTATTGATCATTCGATATTGTTAACGTCGAATATTTTCCATTGGAATAAACTAAATTTTATCGCGTATTTGGAGAAAAACAACTTTATGCCATAATGGCCCATGATGAATTTGAGACAATCAATTTAAAATCCAGTGAATGCTATATATGTCATGGCTATGGAGACGATCACGATCTAATCACTTGTCCAATTTGTAGCAAATTGGACAATCAGTTAGGTTACTATCATTCGTCTACTGTGGTTGGACACTCCCGGTGTTTCGAGAAATGGCATGCAATTGCAAAGCAAACTTCGGCTTCATTAACATCAGTCGACGATAAAAATATAGACAATCTTGCTAACCGTCAAGTTGATAGTAATAGTTATTATAGCTTAACTTCTATACGTGACAAATTAAAATCAATGCTAACATTAGGTAAAGAAACTGAAATTGGCGGTTATACTCAATGTCCACAACGTACCCAATCAGAAAGTGACCAACTTACTTCATCACAAAGTAACTTGTTATCAACTGGAGCAAATTGTAGTGATGACAATATTGTCGGTAGTAGTTTTAGGCCTGACAAATGCGGTAGCCCATCTGCAACTGGTAAAATTAGTCGCGATACTAGCTTAGACGGTAGCAATGTCGATTTATCTGATCTTGGACCATTCAAATATAATATTAATATCAAGAAAGATTACGGCAGTTTTAGTCGCTGTCAGTGTAAGTCAAATGTTATAAAAATGAATAAATTGATCATAATTTTTCGATAGTTAATTTCTATTTCTGTTTTCATTTTCTATTACGAAATTTTTACCACGCACATGTAATACTAAACTGCTTGATAGCCTGTACTGCAGTATTCATTTTTATCTCCAATTTCCTTAACTGTACCGAGCAAGTGTATAAGTGATGGTTTTTATAGTAGCATAGAAAGAGCAAAGCGTGATTACAGATCTGTTACAAGTTGTTCACTACAAATTATTTATTCCATGTGATAGTCGATCATAATAAGGCTAAAGGGATATTTATAATTGGCATTCAGTATGTAGCAATACTGATTCTGATTTGAAGGAAAGTACTGTACTGTAATCTAAGAATAATATCTCCTAGCAGGTTGTAAAATTTAAAAAATCATATCGATCTTTAGAATATTGCTTTCAATCAGGAATATGACAGATGTATAAGTACTGTATTGTGTATTCGTTACCTTGTATCATTTTCTGCATAGTAACCCCGGCGTACGTTACCTTAAATTTAATCCACTTTATAGCAGTGTAAAATTATCCTTCTGTGTAGATGAAAAGTATTTCAATTGATCTACTATTTACATTCTGTATCCTCTGGGATGCATATTTCGATGGCAATGGTTTAAAGTATTAACGGTAGTTTAGCACAAGGTACAAGTGCAGAAAGTTGTATATTTGATAGGCAAGATATTAACCAGAAACGACTAATAAACAAATAAAATCGATTGAGGTACACTATTTGGCAAACGGCCTCGGTCATCAACTTAGTGATTTCTATGAATCTATACTTTAATGACTACATATATATTATTTTGGGTCTGGCTTGATTATAGAATTAGCTGTAGCTAGTAAAATTCATCCATAACTAGGTGAACATTATTTTTCTGAATTATAATCATTGTACGCGTATATTACTACTTTTAGTCATTTCATTCCATATATCAGCGAAGTGAAATATATATACATACTTTCAAATTTGCAGTACGGGTTTAATAAAACAGGATTCTACTAATGAAATGTAGCTTAAATTTAGAAAGTCTTAAACAACCCAATAGAAGCTGAAGGTTGTATTTATTACTTTTTCCCTTCTCATAACGTGGCGATTGTTATAGTATTCCTGAAATTACTTATTTACTCACAATAGGGAATAGGATATGAACGGTTAAATTCAGAATTCATTTGGTTCTACTATTCGATTCTTAATAAGTAGAATCTTCAGACTTTGACTCTGTATGATTATGTAATTATTTGTTATCAAAATTAGGAATTATGCTTATGTATAGACATGAGATATTGTATATTCGTGTACTACTAGGGATTCTAATCTTAGGTACAATATCTTATTCTGCTCAGCAGCTTCATTTATTTTAAAATTATTTAAATATTGCCTGGTCATGATGATATCAATGTTTAAATAGAAAGATTAAAATAGCAAATGGATAAGATAGAATGATATACAATTACTGAAAGATTATAACTTATTAAAAATTTTTCTTATTGATTGATTGATAGCATTCATAGTTATATTTTGTATTAAATAGTCACTAAACGATATGTAGTCAATCCTTTTAATAAGAATGATTTGTGAGGTAAAACGGACGCTGCTTAGTCAAGAGATCTATTAACTGTAAATTGATAGCTTTAAAAGTTTGACTTACCTTTTCGACATAAATTTAGAGTTGGAGAAAAATGCGTCGTATTACATATATTTTTCGTTTTAAGCAATCATTTTCTCTCCGAATCACTAATATCACCAACCAAAGATCTAAATCCCGTATATTAATAACAGTTTTAACAATTCATTACTAAAATTTGGTATCCGAATAATACAATTTTAATTCTAGTCCCTTATAAACTAAACTATATTAAAATTGCTTCCTATAAACTGCCTTAAACTAGAATTATATCTAGTGGAAAGACTGGAATTAAGTTCTTGGAAAGATGTTATATAATCTATTGCTACGAATCTATTTCATATAAAGTAATCATTGGACCTTTTATTTTGTATGTTGAATTGAATAGTGGAAGAAATGTCTAAAGAGAAATTATCACAATTGTATGGAAGTTTAAAGGAGCAGATAAAGCGTAAGATAATTTAATTTAATGTTCTTAGTTGATCGTGATTGATTTTTTTTTCCGGTATGAATGGAATCTTATGTTTTCATTATTTGTTTACAGTAGTTAGTGTACGCTTCTGTTAGCGGTACAATAACTTGAATTGAAAAGATGAAAGTACTGTGCCATTGTCAATTTTAAATGTTAACCGATGCCATTACATTACTGTATATGAAATCTGCTAACAGAAATAACGGTAGAATGGTATTATAAAGACAATAAAATACTATTCTAGAAAGAAGAAGTAACCTGCTTAAGGAGGCTTTATGAAATTAGTGAATTTTGTTACTAATTATGCATGAATTGATTAAAGACAATAAAATAGACGGTATGCAATTTTAGATTATTTCTGATCACCTTTGCTAAAAAATTAGGAAAATTGTAATAGTATGTTTCTCCACAATTTCTTCGTCAATAAGATTGTTATAAAATGACGTACATTATTAATAATTTATTTATTAAAGAAGTTTAGAAATCTGTTCGTTCTGAATAAAATAGGCTTTTAGCAGTGCTTTAATTAATGCAAAAACTACATTGTGTATGTTTATTGGATTAGAGACTTCAACTGAACTTGTTGATTGTTTGGTACAAAAAGATTGGCTTTTGCAACAAGTAGAGGTGCGATATGTTGCTATTGAACAACTTGTATCTAGGCATAAGAAAATTATGCCATCTTTAGGAACTGCAGGTAATGTTCTAATCAAAATATGCTATCATTAGCTGATCATACTCTATTGCTAATGCCACTAGCAATATTCATGATCTCGCTACTGTTGCAAGATATCAACGAAATTATGAATCTTCAACATAAATAAAAGCGATCTCTTCATGCAATTTTTTACACTGTGCTACCGTTGTATTAGTTTAGAACAGGAGTGATCTCATTGAATATCTATATGTGTTGATGTTAATTTTATATTAAAATCCAATATACAGCGGTCTCGTCTTTAATTGCTATTTGTAAATTATTTATCGAAATTATTAAATACTGCAATTAAGTATTGATTGTTATTATTTTTTTATTTGCTTAAATATTTATTAGATATACTTAGCAATTTAGAAGTCAAGTGAGGTTGCTTACGAATGCTTTAAAACTACTGTTTTCACCGCTGAAGAGTTTCTCATGCCAGAACAACCTGTGCAAATATCCTAGCTTCGCGATTAAATTTTAATTCAGAAAATATGCTGCTTTGATAGATCAAGCATTATAAATACGTTCCTGTACAGTAAAATTGTATAAAACATTAACTGGATAATGTGAATATTACAGACCATTCACAGTCTTGGACATATTCGTTCATAATACTTTTCATGGTTGTAAAAGTGTGCTAGATGGCGTAGATTTAGCAAAATTATTTAGTCTTCCGAAACACTTGTATTACCGTATATAGATAAACACATTCTGATTTTCCTCAAACAAATATACGTAAATTCTTATCACTGTGCGAATAGTTAATAATCTGCTTATAAAATGCAATTGTAGAGCTATTTTTGTTAGATTTTATTGCTATAGTTGATAGAGGATGAATTCACATTTCATAAGGAATGATTGTTGCACCTTTAAAATTCGCGTATTTGATATAGATGTATGAATCAGGATTGTGGCATGTATCCTTTTTTTATCTAACTAGGCAGATTGCGGTATTAACCATAAATTATCTCGTATTATTGAATCATATTTACTAATTTGATTAAATCTACATAAGAACTATTACTTAAAATTTATTACTGGACTGTATACACAATTTAAATTTCATCTGCAATTATTGCTAGAGAGTTGTCAGAGTTGAAATTGAATTCGTTATTCATTTTCTTTGATTTTTGTGGTGTACCCTTAGCTAGAATTGTGGATCAACCAGTAATTATAATTTATGAGCATCCTATTACCTTCCTTTCGAATATTTATGTTAAAAATGCCTTTTATTAATATATTGATAGAAATATTCGATTATTGCTGTGATCTAATCAGACAGCGCTGCATGCGTTTCCTTCATAATGGAACTTGAAATGATATAGCATTAAAATTATTTGCTGTTGTAATTATAAAGTTTTATTTAAGCAAAGAGTGCATTGTACATTTCATTTTTATCATATATTGAGCTGGTACGATTTACTTCCATAACCGCTTAAGCTGATATTTATAACCTCTATTATTTAAAAATCACCTAAAAATATTGCTTATGAATAAAAAAATCAGCAATGAACAGAGCTGACAATGTCTTGAGCTTTTGTATAGGCTGAGTAAGAAACATGATTCAAAATTTTACTAAATAAATAACGATGTCTATTTATTAAATCACGCAAATAATGTTATATTTGCACTTTAGCTACAGTATTATGTTGATTCGTACAGTAGATGAGATCAACTGAAATGAAATCGCTGGAGCTGAGGTACAGTTGGAAGTCCTACTTTAAAAAGCACGCTAGAACTTTAAATTAGTAGTAAATTTTCTGTGATAGAATATTCATATCAGTGGATATTTATTTTATAATTTTGGCATTAAAAAGCTAAGAATGCTTGCTTATCAATAATTAGAATTCGATAGGGTATCTTAATGTATTATCTGGCGTCGAATGCTTATTCCAGTTGTTGGAGTTGTACTTAATGGTATCGGGACCAGGCGCTGTTTTATTTAAGCGAGTACCATCACCATAGCTGTCGCCATATAAAAAAAGAAAGATTTAAAATTAAATATAAGTTATATCAAGATTTAATAAATAACTTTCTCCGAATAATAAACGATTCTGTTAGCAGTATATAGCAAAAACGAATAATATGACGCTGATATTCGTAGCCACCGTTACCAAATTATTAAGTGAAGAACATTGCAGAGAGCCTGGATAAGTGTATGGATAACAGATTGATAACGATGATACTGTAACTGATCTTTCACCGCTTATACGGTAGA